ACTTTCATGTAACTCCACTAATTATTCGGAATTACCACAAATAAACGCCCCTAAATGGACTTCCTAAGATCAGGTACAGGAAGCGAGGGGCCGGCGGACCTGCTTTTCCCTAACCAATGTCCCAGAGACCACCAATATTCCCGTGACTCTAATAACAGCCCTGGCGTAATTATGAGTCGCTGGGGACTGTTTATCACCCAAAGAAACTCCACGCAACGCACAGGATTGCGTGACCAAAAGCCCAAGTCACTCTCACGGGCGGGATACTTATGTCAAATGTAGAGAAACTGGAGAGCAAGTCAATTAGAGAAAGGTAGGTCAATTACAGAAAGAAGGAGATAGAGGTCAAATAGAGAGATGGGTCAATTACAGAAAAAGTCAATTAGAGAGAGAGGCCAATTATAGAGTGTGTGTGTGTGTGTGTGTGTGTGTATGTGTGTATTACCTATAAATTACCATTAATTACTCCTGTGTCCAACTTTCCCTACTACTAAAGAATCAAATTAACAACAAATAACGAATGAAGAAACAAAAATAAACGCACTTAAACAACAATGAATAAACGAAGAATAAATAGATAAACTACAATGAATAAGTATAAAATATGAATAATAAATAAGCAAATAACAATAAATAACACGGCATAAAATGACTTAAAACAGTATACACCACACGAACACAATTACATTAATAAATAAACAATAAACCTAGAATACTTACTAAATATAGAAACTTAAAAACCAACATCTGAAGTACAATTCGGATTTAAAACTTCTCTAATAACTCTATAACGATGACTAAACAAATTAGCCTTACCTACCCTCCTAACTTACGCTCGCTCTGTTAGTGTAATGAATATACTCCAGCCAAGAGGATCACACGTGTAGAGCGGGGTTATGTAGCGTCTGCATCTCTCTTACCTATGGATGGATGGATGGATAGATAGATAGATAGATAGATATTCAGTAAAATCATCATACAAGTTTATATTGTTTCAGGAAGTATATACAGTGTAGGTATACTGTATAGTTCAGCATGTATATAGCCAATACAGGTAGATAATTCAGCATGTATACTGTATACTCGAACTCATTTTAGTTTTAATTTGCTGAGCTTATAACAAAGTGGAATTAAAACTGGGATAGACAAGGATATCACTCATTACTAACAAATATCTTACCTTTAATGGACAAATATTCAACAAATAATAATAATAATAATAGTAATAATAATAATAATATAAACGAGTAGGAACTAGGCTTCTCTCCGTTATATTGTAACGTGGTCTTAAGTTCTTAACCACTGTAAATCCTGCACCACGGAGATGTCATAACAAGCTCACACCAACGCAACATTTGTAAACATAATCGTGTCACTAGTATACTTTCCCACCACCAGGGTTCCTCTCACAACAACAAACAACACTCGTACGTTGAGTATTCCGCATAAATAAAGCCGTAAGCACTCAAATAGTTTCCTTCCACTAAAAAATAAAAAAATAAAAAAATAAATAAATAAATAAATAAATAAATAAATAAATAAATAAATATATATATATATATATATATATATATATATATATATATATATATATATATATATATATATATATATATATATATATATATATACGTAAAAAACTGATACATTACTTCAACTAAAATGTACACTTACCTACCTTACAAACAAAATTAACGTGACTGAAAAGATTCCGTGCGTTAATTTTGCCTCCTAACTGGTGCTAAGTGAACGTAACTCAGAATAATTTACATATTTAGTTCACGTAATAAAGGCATATATTCTATTCGGCAAACGGTGTGTCTAAATTTACATTTCTGAAAACATTTAACTTTTCACTTTGTTGAGCATCACAAGGACCGATTTTTTTCATTGTATAAGAGTACAGGTGACTGTTTAACTAAATTAACGTCACAGTACATGTAATTTCAAGTGCCCAAACAAATTTACTGAGAGCATAATTACAAAGCTTGGAAGCCTAATTGTTCGTGAAATTGTACCTATTCAATGTTATAGGAATGTCGAAGCAAACAATGGCAGAGAAAAACTCATATAATATTAAAACCATTCATGCGTTCTTTGAGAGAAACATACGCATACTGTACATCTACAATACAATATACATACTTCAACGTATCTAAGAGTTGGCATTAAAAGGCCAATACAGAATATAAATTGACGTTTGTGTATGGAGTAACGGTGCTCAAATACCCGAGGGCTCTTATTTTTAACTTAAAAGACTCTGAAACTCCTTATAACCACCAGCTAATCCCCCCCCCCCTCAAAAAAAATCAGATAAAACGTGAAATCAAAGTCATTCATATTCCAGAAATGACACTTGTATTATCTGGCCGCACAGTCCATGACGGAGATTACCAATATCAAATGAATTTTGAAAGCCGAGCTATCAACTGTGAGTAGTGGTAGTGGTTGGGTGAGTAACAGCCTGATAGCTTACACGTACGTTGACAGTGAGGTCTGTGGTCATTGTTTCACCTACCGGGGTAGCAACACATAATTCTGTATGAATGTTTTTCCACTGAAATAAGAGCAATGCAGTATATTGATTCACTCTTCTCCCAGTCATCAGTTTTAAGGGGAAAAGGAATAAGGTCTGAAAGCTTACTATTCACCCGTATATTTAATTCAAAGTTTTCTTTGAACTGGTGTTTAAAATATACCAATACAGAATATGAACCTTGCCAGTCGGGGAAGTAATGAAAAGCAAAACAAAACAAAAACCGGCTTTATGCTACTGTCACTGACATCCTACTTAGCTTATAAGAACTAAAAAATAAGAATGGAGAAAACTGCTGCAGACTTATTGGCCTATACTAGGCAGCCCCGTTTATACCCTACCTTTGTCACTCATGTGTCTGCCCAACTTATATTTGAACTTCCCAGCGTGCTCGAGTTTATAATGATTTTCGGAAACCTGTTTCACTTATCCACTACTCTATTTCCAAACCAGTGTTTACCTATGTCACGCCTCAATCTAAATTTGTCGATTAAAACCCATTGCTACGAGTTCGCTCCATGGTTAGATAGCTTAAGCCTAAGGAGCCTGTCATCGCACATGGTATGTCACTATGTTTTGCTAAAAGCAAATAGCACACGTTACCGAAACTTAAGTTTTTTTTATAATCAATAATTATTTTAGGTTTCCTCAGCAACATAAGATTATTACAACCGTTAATCACCATGCACAAATTCGAGCGGTGATTTTCGTCTTGAATAAATTGAATAAAGACGAAAGTTAAGGTGCTCCATTGTTTCCCTTTTTCCTGTGTGATTTTATCACAATATATTTATATATATCTTATCCACGTTTTCATTGTAGATCTACATGAAATATATATATACATATAATATATATATATATATATATATATATATATATATATATATATATATATATATATATATATATATATATATATATATATATATATAAATGAGCAAGATGCATCTCAAAAAAATTCTAGTTTGACTCAAAATGGCCAACCGATAAAAAAAATAGTAAAAAGTAAAGGCAACTGTCATTCCTTTGTGACGCAGATTATCTAACCTCTGTCACTGAGAAAAATTTGTGTTATCTTTTTCCGCCTGGGGACTGGGCCGTGGGTGTTGTGCTCGCATTCTACAGCTGATAGTCTCATCTGATGTTACTCACGTGACAACTTCAGACTACCGCTATTGTTTGTGTTTTGCTTGTTTTTCAAGGAAGTCATACTTTTGGTATAAATGAAAGACAACTGATATGATGGAAGCTGATGTAATCGAAATAAAGCAAACATCTTACAAGGCGCTCAAGGAAGACGTGAATAACATGTGTTCCTCCAGTACTCAGATTACAGACAACCCACGGCACCGTTCAGCATTGGCTTGGTGCGATGAACATGGAGGTATTGTGTGTTGATCGGTGTGTGAGAAAGCGTATAAATATGTCTGAAATTATGTACGAGTAAGCTTTGTGTGTTTGCATTATTTACATTTGAACATTAGAAAGCTTTGTGAGTGCTTGGGCAAATGTTTCGGAAGTCTTTACCTACGTATGATCGTGGGTGTGTTTGCTGTGTGTTTACAAGTCTAATCTCTTGGTGTCTGTGTATGTGTGTCGGTGAATGTCGTCACTGGTTGTTTGTTTGCGTGTATACGACTGTGAATTTACTTATATATTTGAACTAATTTGTATATTATTGAGCTCAAAACTGTGTTGGGTGTGTATGTTAGAGTTCGTGTTTAGTGTTTGTGCGTGTGAATATCTGTATGTTTGTATACGATGCGTGTGTGTGTGTGTATGTTCTCGCAAATTATAAAACACAAGCGTTCAACTCTGGTTAGAATTAAGGAAGCGCGCCAAATCCAATTACAACTTTATCTGTACAACGAGCAGACATTAAGAAGACTTAATTAACATAATCCTCTTCTTAACCACAACTTATAGACACTGCGTACAGTATATACATAAGATAGCATAGATAATGAAGCAGTGTCCCTACAAAACATTATAATACTGTATAGACAAAAGATTATATGACAGACTTAGAGAAGGGCAGAGACAATCACGTCCCTTTATTATGGACATGAGGAAGACGAAAGAAACTCATCTTTGTCACAATTACCTATCAAACCACCGGTACCAGACCCGCCCACCAGCCTACCATTTCAACGTGCGCAAAATCAATACTCCACGCCTTTAAAAGTGGTTCCTACCGATTGATAGCATGAATTTCAGGACGTTGTGGGCTTCGATTGTGTGTGGAAACCCACGTTAAAAGGCCATAGTAGGAAGAAAGTTGTATAATGTTGTAAGACAAGCGTATAATGGAGGAGTGGCACTAGCAGGCACTGTCCCTGGCATCATCGCATCTCGACTGGGCAGTAGTCTGGCAACGGAGGCAGCGTCTCAAGAACGATGTTTTCCTAAATTTTTAACCTAACTGTAAATATTAACTGACATTTCAACACTGGGTACTGACCTTCACATCCTTACTCGTGTTAAGATAAACGACAACACCCAGCGTCCACACACACGAAACGATTATGAAGAGTTTGCAGTTCCTACGCATGGTAGTGAGTGTACACAGACCACCGCGGAGCTGCGAGCGACACTGACCCGCGGCCGCTGACGGCACCCACCGCCGCCCTATCTTAATTTATGTTAAAATAATACCACGACCATGGTCTTGCAATCATGTATTTCAAAACCAACACATATAAATAATACAATTTTCAACCTAGTCACTATAGCTATATAATTTTTAAATAAGTTTAGCCTCAAATAACTCTCTTCTTTTTTTAAAACAGAAGTGATAACTGCTTTGGCGGTTTTGTTCGTGTTATTAACTAACATTAGCTTTTGCCCCTACGAGTGCCACCAATACTTCGAACCATCATCAACACTTGAACACACTTAACGTATATATATATCCTCAACGCATAATAAATAATTAAGTAACTCTTTAACCAATGTGTGATTAGTACATTTCTTCGGAAACTATACATTCAAAATATCACCAAGTAAAATGACCTCGGAGACTGTGAAAATAACACTTTATATATCTTAACTTATTAATTACTTAAATTATGTTATCTGGTGCTGTTTTTATAAATATATCACTAAAATATTCAAACTAGCCTAAGAGTATATTACAAATGGATGTATAATGATGACAAGAGAAGACTTTAGTGGTGATAATAATGAGTGTGAGCAATGTTTTGATTGTGTTGAGTTGGAAGCTTCAATGACATCCTCAAGAGCTACCTGAGTACTTACTCGCCATGAGCACAACTATTACTCTCCAAGATGAGAGAACCTGCTCACACAGTTCACAATCAGATTATTTAATAGGTATGGCTATTTGAGTTGTGTATAGCGCCATTACCGAGTTGAGACTTGTGATGGCTGTGTGTGTTTGTCTGTCCTTAACCACCATCACTTAGGGTAAACTGATGACTCTAAATGTATTAAAACAGAAGGGGTTTCTCACAAAATCTGTATGCAATCCCGATTTTTGGAAGAATATGTCGACGCATTTTTTTTTAAGTCGTGAGAACATATTGCACTTTCTCCTGACTAATTGTAAACGTCTGTACTTTATTGATGTAATAATATTTTATAACCGTCAGTCCATTAGCAGGTATACAGTATATATTTATAGTGAATGCGCACTTGTAGCAGTCATTGTGAATATGAATAGTTCTACTGGATGCACTACACTAGGTCATGCTGTTTTAGAATTTTTGACACCACTAAAGTCAGCATTTATCCTCGGGTTTAGAATCACTCTTGACTAAGGAACCTTCTCAATGGAACTATGTTTTGGGTAGGTGGCTACATACCCAGACAGTGCTTGGGTAGATGGGTCATTGGTGGTACAGTAACAGTGCACCTGTCACACCACAGAGCCATCATTTTATGTGTTAAGTTAAAGGTGGTAAAACTCACTGGAGCTGGTGAGAATACTCTGTAACAGCCTCAGTGGAGCTTTAGAACCTTAGTCGATTATGACAACTGTTAAACAAATACCAGCTTTGTTTTTTGTTAAATTATTTGTTATATATGCTGTATTTAAAATTTTTTATGCATGATAATATTTAAACTGTTAGAAAGTTTAATTTTATTACGAATTAGATATTTTCTTTTTTAGTAGATGTGATGCTGCCCTGGACAATTGCCATTCATTGCACTTAAAAATCAGAATTGAACAAAGATCTACAATGTAATTTTGGTAAATTTGCAGTCACACTGTTCACTTTTAGCAAGTAAAAAATTTATTTTTCTAGTGTATTTGTGTGTTTAGACCGAATATGACCTTCATTTTTGGCGGAAATTAGCTTTTTTTAGCGATTTTTTTTCGTTTGACGTTTTCCGAAAAAACGTCAAACTAAAAAATACAAAAAAACACTAGAAAAACAAAAGCCTAACCTAACTGAACTGACTCTCACCATATGATGGAATCACCTATTTCTTACCTTATTGGCCTGGTTCTTGTTCGTCGTTGCATTCTGGGATTCTTACCCAACGCCACATATGTTGGTCTTTGCGATATTTACATTCAGTCTTGCTCTTAGTACACTTTACTGAGGTTGGAAGAACACCATGCGATCAAAAAAATGCTATAGTTTCCACGTTTTTTTTCCAAAAACTCGCAATCAGCTCCATATACTTTAAGTGACATGTATCGCAGACTTCCATGGTCGGAACTGAATTTCAAAATATGAGAGACCCAAAATAAAACTCGATTTTGATTGGGCCAAATATACTCTGAATTAAACCCAAAACCATTTTAATTGGTTCCAAAAGCAAAAACGCTTTTGATTGGCCGCGTGACGTGTACGGGTACACATGCGCATCATGATTTATGAAGGAGACGCGAGAGACACGCAGTGTTGGATGAGAGGCAGACGATAATGGCGGGAGGTTAATAGAAGAAAGTAGATTTTTTTTTGGAAAAGCTATCTCCGTTATACATTTCCGCCGGTAATGTAATAGATGAAAATTATCTTATAATTAGATGTCTTATTCGAATATGATAATATATTAGTGGTAGGAATGAACGGTGTGTAAACGCAATAATACCGTAATTTTTTTAAATGGGAATTATTCCTCCTGGGCACAGGTCACTGGCCCACATTGGGGCCTGGGGGGCGAAAATCTAATAATAATAATAATAATAATATTACCCTAATAAAAAAGTAAAAATTACAATGGTAATAATGATAATAATGTAGAGCCATAAATAATTACAAAAAAAAATCAAGAGTGATAAATGATATACTGTACATATGTATGTTTTGTTGTCAAAGTAAGAGTCCCTGCAATTGTGTGTAAATGAGGCAGAAATTCAGTCAGACCAGCAACCTGGGACTTGGTCACAATTTTTGTGATGCCATATGTCATCACAAAAAGAACTTGGCCTTACACCCTAGGGGAGTTAAGAGTTAGTGGATAGTATTTTCAATGAGCGCAGTGTGATCCTTGTAAATGTTATTGCTATTGGAATAATGTTCGGATTGACGGATGAAGTACACGAATTCTACTGTGAGGTAACTTGTTTGTGTTCGATCTAAAGCTGATGGCTGTGATCACAGTGAGGATACATGCTCAATCATCACATTAAGTCCCAGCCATTAATGTTGATGATTTACCTGGGTTTCTGACCCTTTGACTTGACGGGTAATAGAGTACATGTGTCATTTAGTTAAAGCCTTGGCCATGATATAAGGTTTCAGAGTCAATCCTTCATATTTATCTTTATGTATTTATTAAAGCTATCTCGTCTTCACCACCAACAGGTAATGGAGTTCGACAACGGGGAAATACTTTGGATTGTGAGGAAACTCCACGAGTAAGTTCCTTATGACTTGTCAAGTATGAACTGTTCTTACTTCACTTATGTAGATGCTGATGTGTGTTTCAATATATTTAAATAAAGTCTGAGAGTAGGAAGTAGATGAGTTACATACACTGTATAGGTTGAAGGTTCGGTATAAAGTGATTTTGATAACCAAGTTTGTTTACAGTACTTTATTCGGCCATTTAAGGAGGGTGCAGCTACCTTGTCATCACTTCAGTCGTTTATTAAAGAAATAACATGGCTCTTCCATCAACGTGAGGCACAGGAGACACTAGTCCTCGTGCTTGTTAACCTTCTGGTCACACTCCTGCTGCTCTCCTGGTGCCACGCCACACGCAGCATGGGTACGTGTAATGCTGGTTATATCTGTCACCTGTTAGAGAGTTAGGTTAGGTGTGGTATGATTAGTTTAACACCTTTTTTCTCTCTTTTTCTTTATATCTAAAGGCTAATTGATAGTTTGAATCAAATTTGCCTGACTAAGGACATACTTTTTACATGGAGAAAATGCCCTCTTAAACTCTGTAGCCCTTTTTGCTGCTTCAAGGCTCAGTCTCCAGCCTCCCAATCTTCACTGGGCAATGTGAAAAAGCCTGAGTCCCAGGATCCATTGTTAGCTTTCAATTTGTTTCAAGTAGGGCATCGAACCTGTGTGAGGCAGAGTGAGTGAAGCAAGTGAAGTGAAGTCTGTTATTCTTCTCGATTTCAACCATCCTGTAACATTCGGGGGAAAAACTTACAAGAGTAAAAAAAAAATTAGATCTATCAACAGAAAGATTATAAATAACAGATCAAAATGAATAGTTGTGACCTATACTTTTCACAATTAGGTTTATTTAGCTATAATACATAATGATAGAAATATGTTAGATGGGGTGTTAAAAATATCAGTTTTATTACCCTGATTGTGTAAACATATAAAGAAGTTGAAACAAGGATGGTGATTAAGATGTAAATAGGATTGATTATCAAGTGTGTAGTTACTGTATACTTTGTTTGTGCCTGTATGATGAAGGGAAAGAAAAAAATATTACAGAAAAAGATGACTCGCCATATCTTATCATTCCACTCATTAGATGTGGTAATTTATTTGTTCTTATTTATATATTTATTTTTTATTTGTGAAGGTAATGTTGTAAATACAGTAGTATCCTTAAAAATAATCTTTTGTGTTGCAAGAAACATTGTACCACTATAACTGCATATACTGTAGTAATTGTATGCATTTTGTCTTTTCAGCCCTTATGGCATACACCTACTTGTCGTGGTTCAGTCTTCTCAGGTAAGTAAACAATTCGTCCTAATATGTCCAGACCCAGACATATTGTAATCAAGGTTGTAGATTTTTCATGTGGTTGTAAATACAATATGTTGATATGATGAATACAACATGCCAAATTTATGTGTCCAGAAGTAGATAGATTACTGTATGTTTAAGGTTATAGATTTTTCTTCAGAAGATTGTAATATCCTGATGATAAGATGACTACAACATGCCAAGTTGCAACGAGTGTCAATGATTACTGGAAGAAAATTGATTGGTTGAAAGTGAATTAACATGTTTCTGAGTCTGTGAGTAGTCTTAACGGAATTTTACCAATGGGAATTTTATACAAAGAGATGGTTCATGGGAAACAAAATTTTATTAAATGTATAATTATCTTAAAAAAAATTGTTATGTGAGAATGTATCATAGAACCTAAGTGAACTCTCAGTATCCTGTGGGTATAGGTACTTGAGCCCTCCAGTGTTCTGATTTCCTACCCTGGGTTTACTGAATGTTGTATAGTACTGCAGTGTTGGAAAAAAAGGACTCGATTCATTTCACTCCAGGTAATCCTTTCAAGAGACAGCCAAGGCCAACCAATCTACCTCGAGCATTATTGATTTCTATTTGCTATTTAATTTGAACATTTATTGTCTTTTCTTTTTGTTAATCTTCCAGTCTCATTACTTGTCTGGTGTGTGTGTGGGCAGAAGGTCAGAAAGCTACCCAGAGCTTCACATATGGTTACCTTAGATGTGAGGCCCTGGCAGTGTTTTCTTCCGTGATGCTTTCTCTCCTCGGTGCTGTCATCATCGTTAAAGAATGCATCGAGAGATTATTTGAACCAGAAATAATTCATACGTAAGTGCTGTTTTATTGTGCAGTATTGTCAAGTTTCTGCTATGGTATTAAAAAATTTGTAATCTTCAGTACTCCTCTCTTTTTTTATTTGATGTGTAGGAAGGGATACAGAAAAACTCAAAGAAAAGTTGAGAAATAATTGTGAGGGGGTGGTGCAAGACACTCACCACATATTGATTCACAACACAACATATTTATTGACTTTGTCTTTAGGTTGTGTCATCGGTTTAATTAACTTTCCAGTGTAAAGTAAAATAAGGCAAAAAAGTCAATTTATTATTGATTTACCAGTCTGCCTGAATATTTATCTCATTATCACTATAAGGGTGCTGTGGTTACAATGCTTTAATGATGCTGTTGGTGTGAGGAGTTAGGATTAAAGATAACTTTTAAATGTCCAATACACATTACCTTTTGTTGGTCCATCTATCACTCTTATTCTCTATTTCCTTAATAATTATATAATTTCAATAGGCGATATACCATGGAGATATTACAACATATTACTGTATAACCTTACCAGATATTAAATTGTGTTGTAATATTCATTGGAAATGTTAAATGTGATGCCATGTTGACAGAGGAAGTAGTGTTGACAAAACTTATTAATATTATATGTAATGTTGGCAGAGGAATGTTAAGTATTGGTGGGATGCTTGGACTGGTGCTGCACCTTGGCATGACCACCCTGGCCCACAACCCTCCACTGACACAGGTGCTGAGAGCTTCCCAATCTTCACTTCTTCAGGAACATGTGGCTGATATGTGCCGCAGGTGTGTGTCTCTGCTAATGTGTTGCACAAAGGATCATGACTCTTACTTTGCTTTCCTATGCTTGTCAGATATAATAAAGAGTGTGTCAGGATATTTGAGGATAAAAAGTTCACGTGACTGTGTATACAGTACATTAAAGCACTTACTAGAAATGGTACTGTATATGGTTAATGCATGGCTTTTTCCAAATACCTGATGGTTTATTTTTTCAAGCCCTTTTCTGTTATGGTGCTGTATGGCTGGAATAAAAAACAATACAAATTCTCTTCAATTACTGTCATCCATTTACTGTGACTGCTATGACATACCCAGGGCTCAACAATTCTTATATTCTCATCCTTAACTTTTCTTCTCTTAAATACAGTTCTTTTTTTCATACATTTATTATTGCACCAGTGGTAAGAATTTTAGTGAAAACATAATGATTAATGAATTCACAAAATAAAAAAATGTAGTAGAGCAGTGAACAAAATCATATATGGCTCCTGTGTTATGTACAGATAGGGCAGATCTGATATTGTCTACCATATATAAGTCTAGTGTAACTGCGGGATACATTTTAATGGCTTACTCTCATTTGTGTGTCACCTAAACCATAATAAAGAAAAAATTTATTTTTCCAATAATTACATTTTGAATGGTGTTTAGGCAGTAATATGCAGTAATGCCTTAGTATCATTTTTCTTCTGCTTTTAATTTTTTTTATTATTTTTAAACTGGAACTGTAAGGATTAACTTAAAATACTTTATTTCAGTCTTTGCAATTATGTACCATCATTGACAAGAGTACTTCTGCCGAGAGTGGACCCAGTTGTTCTCATATCAATTACTGGTTTTCTTGCAATATTGGTAGATCATCTTGTTCTCCAGATGTAGTAAGTTGAGTTTTCTTATCTTTTAAAAATCTACACATGGAATAGAAATTTTTAGAGAGAGTTCACGCATGGCTAACGTAGTATGTCATTTATATTGACTGGTAGACAGCTGGTGAACCTGGACTACTGTTCTTAAATTTTACCCTTTTGCCTGGGTCTACATATGGTTGGTATGGAACAGATTAAATTACAGTATATATGTTCTTGTTTTTTCCGGGGACCAAGGATCATGACCTCCTAGACATACTGGCTATACAGAGTTGTGTAATCCTAACTCGGTTATAGAATAGGATTTCAGGATCAAACTTTTATTTTTCAGTAACTATCAGGTAGCAGATAGTGTTGCAGCACTGGTTATTGCTCTCCTCACCATCACCACCATGTTTCCTCTGTGTGTGTGTTCAGCCAGCATACTGCTTCAGGTTTGTAAAGTTTGTGAATTAGTTTACCTTCAGAAACAAACACAAATTAACTAAAGATTTGACCTGCTTTATAAAATCTTCAAGTGGATTTTATTCTTTTCCTGTAGTTAGAGTTTATGATATTACATAATTTGGCAACTCCAATTTTTTTTAAGAGTTACAGTACATGTATAGTGTTATATTAGGTCACACTAGTTTGACCAGATTATACTAAAAATAGTCTACTGTATCTATAAATATATTACAAATAGCTTGCCTCCCACAATCTACTGTACTTTGTTATTGAATACAGTAAGCCCTTATTTATTCTTGGGGCTGCTTTTTTGCATCCTTGAAGATGTCATACATTTGTAGTTCCATAGAGAAAAATAGATGATAAATAATTGTTTTGTCGGTTAATTTACATCACACTCTTTATCTCATTGACAGACTACTCCAGTTAGTGTTTTCGCTCAGCTGGATAAATGTTTGCGTGAAGCACTTACCCTGGATGGTGTGTTAGAGTTTCGCCACGAGAATTTCTGGACACTAGGTGTGGAAAATCCATCATGCAGAACATCACAGTTATGTAAGGACCCCAGTGGCTTCATTCTCACGGGCAGCCTTCATGTACGAATTCGTCGGGATGCCAATGAACAGATGGTATTAGCTCACGTCAGGGAGAGGTTATCTCCACTGGTTCCATTGTTAACTGTGCAGGTGAGTAAATGAGTTGTGTCTTTTTTCTGCCTTAGATTTATATTGATAAAATTATAATGGTAGGTACATAATGTATTTATCTTACCAAATCAAAGGGAAAAGGGGTATAGAAATTTCATGTATATGTGTGTGTCTGTATGCAACTGTGTCATCATTCCTCACATCAGTCTCCTCAGTAATCTGTACTAATAATAGAGCTATGGTGTTTGTTCAGTATTCTTAGTAAGAACACTGTTGCATTATCAGATTTATATTGGTCTGATTGAAGGTACCACTCAGGAGTCATGTTTCTTCACTTGGAGAAACTTAAGTCTTTACCTTTGTGTGAGGACATGACAAGTCATGATTGCAGAGAATATTTTTGTTTCTTAGGAATGCTTATGATCTGATATTATGTTTTAGGTGCTTCAGCTGCCAATTTATTGTTAGGACTGTTGACCAGCTCTATACTTCTCACACATTAGTGCTTTCATTGTTAACTAGAAACAACCATTATATTTTGTTTGTGTTCTAAAGCTATAGTAGATTTCTTCTACCATAATACAGTATATGATTAATATAGGGTAATGTGATAGTGATGATAATAATAACCCTTTTTTTAGGTCTTCAAGGATGACTGGACCCGCAGCTCGACCACTTTGCAACTTTTGAATGACTCTGCACGGGCCTTAGCCACGTCACCCTCCCACTCACCGCACTATGTTAATGTTACCTACCCACAGGTGTACCCACCAACAAAATCTCCCACAGTAAGCTCCTCTTTTCAATCTCAGGCATATTACCCAACCCTTCCACGCCCTCCATTTTCCCATACAGTGCCTCAGGGATATGTGGCAACCAAATCACCTTCCTTGATGTCTTCCATGATTCCTGGCACTTCCACCACCAGTAGTTTAACTGTAGGTATCAGCAAAAGTGTTTTAGACACTAAAACTACTGTAAGTATCAAACAGAACCGTGTTGACGATGAATTAAGCAGTTCGGATCCTTTGTTATATGGAAATTCGGATACTGAGGCTTTCAAAAGCACACCTGATTTGTCTGCTGGAGGGTCAGGAGAAAAGGCAGTCAGTTTACATGATTGGGCATCTGGGAGTAAGTCGAGTATAGGTAGGGAGGCACACAGTCAGAAACCATCGCCATATTACGTAAATGTAGATTTCTCCAGCAGATCAAACATTTTGCGCGCTCCAACGGAAACACCTCAAAGTAAGATTAGTAATAATAGTATTGATCACAGTCCAAGATAATGTTCAGTTTTATATCTAGCAAAGTTATATTTTATAATTGGTAATGTATTTTCAGAGAATGATCCTGATGTAATGGATAGTGTAATACTTCATAATCTCTGTAGTAGAGTTCAGTCTTAGATGATGGGCAGACCTATGTGTGTGCAGTTTGTAATGGTGCACATAACTGGTAATATAGACTAGCTCATTGGCAAAAAAGCTCACACACAAGCCCCACTCATTTCATATATGAAGAACTGAAGATACATGTCCCACTCAACTCATATATCACCAGGTGAAAATGTACATCTCACTCATTTCAAGTGTGAAAATTAAAAAAAATACTGATCCCACTCAGTACATGAGGATGTGAATGTGCTGTATATAATTCTCACTCTTCATATATGAAGTAGGTTCATCTGGGAAGGTAAAATGCAGACCCTGTGGGCTTCTGGGGATCCTAAGTGATGAGCAGCTCCTCAAAATTTTGCCTGTTCTATCTACTTCATTCACTAGATGGTAAAGCAGATGATACATTGTGCATTTTGTAATTTTTTCTATGTTACGGTTGTATTTTTATTACTAAATATTATAGAATAAATATACCCTGTATATTGAAAAATAATCATAATTATACAATAGCAATGATGGCATTTACTCATTCCCTCACCACAGTGTTTGAGTATGGTATCAGTGTAATAGATCTTCATATTTATCTGAGAAATATTTCCATGAATAGATCCTTATACGACAGTAATATTAGAACCTTTTATGAGATATAGTATAATTTAAGTTATATGTACTTGTATATGTTATATTGTCATGTCCTGTGCAAGAACTATATTTTTATGTACTGTATTAGGATACGTCTCACTTGTTGCTATTGTGCTTTTAAACTGCTTCTGTTGGTTGCACAGTACAATAATCTCTTATTAAACTTTTGACAATTTGTACAATCTTGTTGAAATTTTATGATACAGGTATATACAAAAATCATCCTTGTCCTTTTTTTTACATGACCTGTGTGTTATCAGTGAGTGACCTGTAAAATTTGTACAGTAACTAATTGTTTTTATTCAAGGTTGCATTCCTGAAGTGGTAGCGAAGTGACACAATTGTGGATGTACTATATAATGGGGAACAAGGGCTTAGGATTTAGGAGTCACTGAGACCATCCATAACTGGAATATTTACCTCCTAAACATGGTACAGTATTATAACACCTTATATAGCATCACTTGTGCAATAAAAGGCAAAATCAAACATACATAGGCTTTACTAGTCAATAGATTAGTTATTAGTAAATATCTTTTATGCGATAAGGTCTGGTAAATGTATTCAGTTTGGCACCTCACAACCCAACACTCACCACTCTTTGTCCTGTGCAGCAGTGTATAAATGTAAAATAATAATATATGCACAAATAGAATGGGTTTAGTTTAAAAGAGTATTTTATGATGTTCAAACATGACACCTGGGATTGGTAGCTTACCTCTCATTCATCATTCTGTGACTAACAACCAACCATCCTCCCATAGTGTCCATTTATGTAATTCAGTATCAGCTGTAGTGTAGTGTAGACGTTAGCTACCCTCTCCGTGGGACTACTGAGTTAGATTTTAGTATGGAAACTACATTATTACAGAGACCTATTTAAAAAGAGAAAAAAAATCATGTACTATTTTTCATTGCGTTGGTGTGAGTCGCATAATAACACGGGTTTATTGAACTACCTAAACACAGCCCCTGGTGAGCCTGCCGCTAAGCTGAGGACATACTGGTAGTACATTTAACTGCAGTGTACAGTCCATTAAGCAAACTAATAATGCCAAATAGAGTACAACCTTAGAGTTTTGCACACCCAAAAGCTGAAATGGTTGTGAAAGTCCAATTTTTGCTAAATATCAGTGAAACGTGTAAATATCTGTAACCATGATGCCCCGTACAAAACAGTAGTGATGAAATGTATAGAATAACACACAAAACAATACAGTATTACCTAGATATATATTAGGATGCATAGTTAACACCAGAGTGGTCCCAAATACTGTCACAGGAGAACATACAAGATAGTTTTGCTAATATCGTGCACCCATAACAGCTGCTAAGTTCTTGACTGTGGCTGTGGGTCCCTTCTAAGTTCTTAGTGATGGTCTCAGTCATAAAATGGGATTCCAGGATCAATTCACCATTTTCAGTGGATTATCACTTTATTTATTATTAGTTTTCTTTTATTTTAAGGAGCTGGATAACCTAACCTCAACTATAAGGCTAGAAGCAGTAAATAAGGTAGGGTACAGCCGAGGTCAAAAGTCTTGAACACTTAGCAATATCTGGCATCTACTTCTGAGTTATACATATATGATTGGGATATACTACTTGTCATCACATATTATGCCTGAACCACAAAATGGGATAAAACTCTCCTTTATACCTAAGATCTTCGGGTACTTACATGCCAAATACTGTCAAGTGTTCAAGACTTTTGACCCCGACTATACATTTTCTGTTGCATAGTTGATACTTTCTAATAGGGATATACAGTACAGGTATCCCCCAATTTGTATTCACGTTAATGAGGTTTTAACATTTCTTGCAATTTACGCAAGGCAAAATCACCGTTAACGATATTTATTGTTAGGCTAAACTAGCTGATGCAGAATGTAAACACTGGGAAGTGCATACTGTATTTCCCTTCATTTGGCAAATCCAAGATGGACAATATGTGCACAAGCTGCTTTTCCATTCTCCGTGTGCCGCTTCACGGCCACTATGCAAACTACAGTCCAGCACTTTGTTTCAACATGATCACATCTGCCCTCGCTAGTGTAACAAACGTTATCCTTCTTAATCATTGCATAATTTTGTGGTCACTGTGATACTTTGCCGTTATTTGTGAGAGGAAAAAATTATCTGGACGATAATGTTTTAGTGTCTGAAGTGATCAGTGTAAAACACTGTAACTTTGAAAATGGCTAGCAAGTGTCCCGTCGGAGTCAGATTGATGTCACCGCTCCTTTAACAAGAGTTCCCTTAGCTTCGGAGGAGACATGCGATGATGACCAGGCTTGTAGTTGTTAATGTGGTGAGTGTTGTTTAACTTTTTATTATTTATTTGATTTGTGTAGGATCGTATTTTCTGTGTTATATGTCTGTGTCGGACAGGCCAGGAACATATCCCACTGAAATCCATGCAGCAGCTCTACTGACAAATGATATCCATCCAGTTTAGAATTACAGAAGTCACTCACTGCTAACCTACAAGTCATAAATGAAACCTTGAGGAATAACGTAGGAAATTTAACTTTATGACCAAGTGGAAGAACCAAGTCTTGTGGTTTCCCTCTCTCCTCCCTTATTGGGATTAGAAATTGACAGGTAGTACTGAAACAGGGAATGTTTACCAGACTGGATGTAACAAGTCAGTCTTCCCAAAAGTCATAAATGTTTTCCTTCTTGCAAGTTCCTTTCCACTGTAACATAGGGAGGCAGGTGCTTAACTTAAGGGCAACACGACACAGTACTCACTTATTCATTGCAGTGGTTGTAACTATGTGTACTGCTATGGTGTTCCTCCACAGTAAGGCTCGAAAATTTTCCTTGCATTCACTTTTTCCATTTCATCAAAGTTTTTTATATAATTCCTAGATATCTGTATAGCACATATCTAGATTTCTTTCTCTTGATTATATTCTTTGAAATATAAATCTTTAGTCATGTATGTTGCCTGATATATTAGAAGGAAGAAATACCTAAACACATTCAGACATTTAACTCATGTTAAAGAACTTCTTTGCATGTTTCATCATATACTGCTTATGGGATTCACAGTGGTATAAATTTTAACACCAGTTCATGAATATTAAAAGAGTTCCATATACTTGGTATCGTTAACTAAATTAAGACTTCTGAATATTGCTATATATTTTCTTAAGTCTCCTCCATTTAGTGCAGTAGTGTTAGTGAAGATCCTTGTTGTAGAAATGGAACACCATATTAGGATACGTGTTACAGCAGAGAAGAGAAAGAGCGATAGCAAATAAAGTTTGTTTAATCTTGGTTCCGTCTACCCTGCGCTATAGAAGGACAGGGCTTGCAAGAGTGAATGAAGTTGTTGCTCATATGAGTTAAAGGTAATCATAACATGGCCATTTAATCTGTTCATCAGTAGTTTAAAATGTAATGTTTTATCACCATTTTATCTTCATCAAACTCAAAATATAAAATATTGTTAATTTCATCATCCAACTGTTTGCTAGGCACAGTGCTAATGGGCTAGAATGGACCTGTTTTATTTGCAGTATGAGTATTCAACTTTTTTTTTTTTTTTTTACAATACCCTGTACTTAATTTTACTTAAGAAGGAATCTGCTTTAAATACAAGAATAAATTACTGTACTGTACTATATATTGGTCTTCAGCTTCCACTCCTGTGTAGCCTTTATTAAATGGATATAATATTGGATAGCTGATCTCATCTTGATTTGGAGTGTGACCAACATTCCTCTCCATGTTAGGATGCTGTGTATGTATTAGTTAGTGTACTTGCCATATCATTAAGGTTTATGTTTATCCATGTGAGATAAGTTTTATACTGTTCTTCACTTTCATCTGGATGCCTCTTAAGTACAGTGCATCATTACTTTTTACAATACATTTGACATTCAACATAATTTATTCCATGTTTATGGCATAATTTTATATCTTAGTGATGTTTTGTAAGTGAACTGATTGTCATTTGTAAATTACCAGAAGTCATTATCTCCTGCAATATTTGTACATACAATATATTCTTTCTCAGTATTGTGATCTTTCCTCCTGTATTCCTTGACCCAACCCACATCAGTTATTGTGAAGTAAAGACAAATTTACATTCTTAAGAATGAAAAGTAGTTTTGAGGGGTTTCAGCCGAGTGAACAGATAAAGTTAAACAACCAAACTTCTTTTAGGCTCTATATTTTGACAGTTATGACATTGGGAATGTATAAGCTTGTGACCACAGCCAACCCTAATTTTTTTTTTTCCTTAAAAAAAATAAGGCTTATCAATCTTCTTACACCTGTAAATTATCTAGGTACTAAGTGCAGTATCTTTTCATTGCTGGAATTCTCGCCTTTCAAACAAATATTAAATCTTCACCACAACCACTTTGACAGTAACATCTTTACCTGAACAAGGTAAATAATCGGTCAAATCATTCACAATAATGGTACACGAGAGTAAAAATGTGAAAAAAAATAGGGTGCATCAAGGGAAGCACAAAGTTAACACACCTAAATTTTTACAATTTACTCTCTATACCTGTATAACAATTTTTGTGAACACACACTTTGTAAATTTGAAACTACATGTGTTCTTTGATGCAAAAACAATCTAGCTCTACGTTAGCAAATATTCCAGCATTCATACGTACTGCACATGTACAAGGAAGCATACAAAATATATTACAGTACAAGTACATATTAACTTTCCAGCTATAGAATAAATCTGTAGAGATCAATACTGGATTTCAGCCAAACTAACATTTTAATGGAAGCTATAGGGAAGTCTTCTCCATTCTGGCAGTAAAATGTGGTTTAATATTTTTGAGCATTGAAAATTTTATAATCTTAATTATACATTTTTACAAGGAAACACACTTAATTCTTATTGTCTTCAACACTTTCTTAATTATTTTCTTCATTGCAGAATGAAACTGTTTACAGCAGTCTTAATACTAGTCATTTAACAAGGAAGCACTTGAGCACCTTAATCTTTCCTATCATTTTCTAAGGAGATACAAAGGTGAAGCATCTGCTATTTTTTTACATTTATAAAAATAAATTTTTGATCATCGGTTACTCTGAAGCTAGGCACTTACTTAATGGGTTGCAGGTTGACTCCGTCCCAATCTAATCTAACTATATAGGTTAGGTTGGGGCATCATGACCAGTCGCACTTACAGGTTAGATATGAATACTGCAACAGTCTACATATTTCAACCTGCATGTGTGGCACTCACACAAATATTAAACTGGTGACAGACAGATAGATACAATGAGAAAACTTACACAGCAACATTCAAGATGTACAGGTACATTTTTTTTCCTTTGTGCAACTGAAAATACCTAAGAATATATAAATACCAACAACAATTATATCTGTTGAGTGGATACTGTTAGTCAGCAAGCAACACATTGCACCAGCCTGATTAAATGCAATTCAAATACATCTTCAATCATAAAACAGCAAAGCAAATACAGTATACAGTACACAATAAAACAACTGACTGAAGACGATGTATCTCACCCCCTGTACATGTTACATTTCAAATATAGAGTGAATTCAGTATGGGGTTATCAAAATATGACGACACAAAAAAATCAACATTTGTTAACGCTGACAATAATAATTGCAGGCACACTATAAAATTATACAACAGTTGATCATCTCCGATCCCCATGATTATAATGTATGCTCTTGAAAGTACTGTACAACAACATATTACAATAAAATAATGGACTTTAATGGATCTAATGGTAAAGTAAACTATGATGAAGAAAAATAAAAACAGATCCAACAAATATCAACATGTATTATCATAATATGTCAAGTGCAAAACAATGTAAATAATATAGTACAAGTACATGAATCTTGTGTCCAATTACACATCCTGATGTGTAGGAAGTCTTAAGCCATGACCAATTCTGTCTTGTCATCCTTCGTGATGAGCTGCACGAGGCTGCCAGAAGAGGGTCTATCACTTCCAGTTGTCCACTTGTGGAAAAGTCTGTTCAGAAAGATTTACAACTTATAGTCTATTTCAACATTTCAAGTACAAATAATTACCATAAAGTACTTTAATTATTTCTTTCATAAAAAGTAGGTGCGCAGCCTACTTTTTACACAACTTTGCCAATACTCTCTATACCCAGCTACTCTCTTAACTCCTGGCTTCAGTGTCATATAGCACACCCACCTCATTTTGTTTTTGCCATGCTCACTCTCATACCCTACCATTTCTTAAATTTCTCCACTAACTCTGCAAAGCTATTTGCTATTAACATTAAGTTATCATAATGGAACAGCTCCAAGGCAGATCAATTCTAAAATCTCATGATAGTTCTTCTAACACCATAATAATAATAATAAAAAAAAAGACTCAAAACAGTCTATACTAATACAAAATAACATTTACTTACTCAGCAACAAACTCTAGGGTGGTCCAAGTGGAGAAGTCTGCACTGGACATCCATTTTCTGTTCATAGGTGTGTCAAGAGTAACGGGAAGTATAGCAACAGCTGTTGTCCCCTTTGGTAACCCAGACTTGTCCTCCCCAAGACTTTTTGTTAACTGGTGGACAGCTGCCTTGGCTAGACCATATCCAATCATGCCTGAGAAAAGGTAATGTTTACCTTGTATATTTTCATGTCACTGAATGTGATATAAAGGTAAATGAGTTGAAATAACTTAGTATTATGGAAAAGTAAAGGAACACTGAGGAAGAAGCAAAACCTTTTCTAAGAATGAGGTGCAGGATAAACAAGGCATACAGACACTGAAATATAATACCGGGTAATGTCCATTTCCATGTTTTCACCCCTGACTTGTGATATATAAAGTAAATGTAAATATAACCAGAAGGTAATTGATTAAGAAAACTAAGGGAGATTGAAACAAGTGTTAACTTGAACGGAGAATTTCAGATACTGTATCTGGGAGTGGATATGACAGTGTGTAAATGGACTGATGAATGATAAACCAAAGAGGAAGATAATAATTGGAGCACAGATAAATGTACATAAGAGGGAAGAACTATATTAAGGGAGGAAGATGTACAGAAAAGTGAGAGAGCGAGCTGAATATTTTTATGACATCATCCACCTAGAAATCCTCACCTGGAGTTCCATTAATTGCAGGCTGTGCACCAGGGAGGGTCACCAATCCTCCTTCCTTAAGGAAACGTGAGGCAGCCTGTGCAGTGATGGTAGATGACCACACACTCTGGGACCACATTAACTCACAGTTCTTAAGAAATTCTAAAAAAAAAAAAATTAGCATGGCTAAGTACAGGTATATTTGTAAAAGTATATACTCTACAGTACTGTATGTTTGTAACCTATCTTTTTTTTCCAGCAGGGTGAACATTATTGTATTTGTAATAATAATGAGCATCATCAAGACATGATATACAATACTTAACTATCACAGTACAGTACAGTGAATTCACAACATAAGTACAGTAAATATGCACATAATAAAAAGTAACATTTGATTCTCAGACATATTTCATCAATATTCCATATGAGTAGTGTTAAAGATTGAAAAGGAAAGCAAGAAGTACTGTAAGTGAAAAGCCAACATGGCCACTCCAAAACTACTGTACGTATCAAATAAAGATTCACAGCCACTTACCCTTGCTTCCAGCATTGCCACCAGCCCAACCACCTGCGACATTGATGAAAGCATCTACCTTTTCTGAACCAAGCGCAGCCTCCAGGCCTGTCAAGTTGATATACAGTACTCATTATATTGTAACTAAGAAAGATCAAATATTTCCTCACATATAAAACAAGATACATTTCATTACTCATTGTTAGAGAAGAGTACTGGTAACCCTTTCATAAAACCTTGCAAACTGGGCAGCAAGGTCATCTATCACCCTTTACTTTACTTTACTTTACTTTATCCTCTTCACCACTGATGGCGTGTTAGCCAATTGGACAGTTAGTTACATCTTTGTTATGCAATGTTGGAAAGTATTGGGCATGCACTGGTTAAGAATGTATCTAAACCTGCACCAGTGTTGGTCAAGTCTATCATAAGTCACCCAGGGTACCATTACTGCAAAAAGTAAAAGATACCTAAATCTGGGTATGTCAGTAAACTAGGGGTCTCGCATCTGCTCACCAGAAATGACTTTATCTGCCTGTGCAGACCAGTTTGCTTCTCTTGATACAATGATGTTGACATCTGCCTCATCGTTGGCTACCAAGTCAATGGTCCCCACCCACTGGAAGATAAACAACAGTAAATTAATAATGTACATTCAAACCATGAAACAATTCCTTGGAAACATGGTAAAATAAATGCCTCACACAAGATAACTTGCTGTGTAACCAGGCTGGACCAGCCCACTGTGTGTAAGATATGATGAGCAAATACTGTGCACAGAACTGCCCTTCAGTGTTGCCAAACTTAAAACTTAGGATAAATACAGAATATCACCATATTTCTTTAAAATGACTTCAAAGGGACACAAATCACTGCTGATAATATTCTATATATATGTACTATACCTGTACTGTGTACACTACATATATGGCATAAATTAAATAAAAATTGTGTTTATAATAATATATCCAGGGCATTCTATAATGCTGATCTTCTGAACAAAAACTTTAGGTTATGTACTGTGATCACTAGGTCCCTGTGCTGGCAAGTTAGGCTTCCAAGGAACAAGTGGTGGGAATGTAGTGACGGCAACCAACACAGCCTGAGGTGACACCACCAAGGTCACACCTCCAAGACCTGTATTAACTACCACCCAACACATCTACCCCCACTCACCTGTGATCATTTACTCCATTCAACAACTATGTCATTCATAATAAAACTATATTTATTCTCAACTAACAATTTTGAGTACAGTAATGAACTTCATAAACCCTAAAAGACAAAACAAATACAGTACTGTGCAATACAACAGTAGTTAAATACAGTACAGAACTGTATTTATGACAAAGTATAACCGTCTATGACAGTAACTTTTTCTGATTCATTAACTGGTGCCTTTTCTATACATACTGTATATCATACAAGAAATGTTCTATTTACCAGTTATATAATTTAATGGATTGTATTTTCCCAATGTCTGATGTATTTACTGGATACATATAATTCATATTCATCCTATTATACACAGGAAGCAGATAAAACATAACAGAAGGCAATAAATAATATTAGACCGTAAGCCCAGGACATATTTGTAAGAGAACTCATTATCATTCCCTCCAGCTATAAGTGGTCACAGGAGCTGCTACCTCTCCCTGACCTTGACCATCTATGAAGGTCTCACTGTAGATCTCCTCGAGTGATATACTGTATCTTCCAACTTTGAATTTTTTCCATAAAAATATTAGAATACTTTTGAGTTAAGTTGGGTTAGGTTGGTTCATTTTGTTACGGTGGTTTGTTTTTCTATCACGTTCTTATGATTTTGTAACAAATGATACAAATCACTGGCGACATGAATAATTTGTCCTGCACAAATGTTGGTAAAGTCTGGTCTTGACCAACACTGGTAAAGGTACAGATGTATCTGAATATGTTCCAGTGTTGGTCAAGTCGGAACTTAGGGTGGTAACATCGCTTATCCCTAAGGCAGCTGTCAGTTTTTACACCAATTAAACACAAGATTACCAAATTGCCATCTAACAGCTTAAAGTTAACCATAATACCCAAGTTCCTAATTATAAGACAAATAATTCCAGACAGTAATTACAATTCTTCTAGAAGTATTGCACTCTACCATACTGAGACAATCCAGGAACGTTGTGAACATGTTCTGGGATTTATAAATAGGAACCGACTACTGTACCGTAATGCTGTCAATGTCTGTGATACAAGCTTTAAATTATCCTTAAAGTCCAATGCATCCTGACTGTGTGTAGAGTCCATTTTAAGCTGGTAACTGTGGGACTCATATATCCTAAGAGTTCTGCATGTCAGTTCAAGGCCATGAGGGATGACTCGCATTTTGGGAGTCAAAATCGACACACCTTAATAACCTAACCCACCAAAACTACACAAGTTAACCTATTACGAATTCATGATACAATTACTATATAACATAAAGCCTTCTGGTCCTTTTTACAGCACTGTTGCATACATGTTAGACACTTGTAACAATATTAGCTGCCAATACAAGTGACCCAAAAACTAAACGTCTTGAACCAGGCAAGCAATCAATATACTGTATGGCCTAAGAAATATCACATAATAACCATCATTCATATACTTACAAAATCCTTCGCCTTAAAATGCTTGACAACGGCAGCACCCAGGGCACCACGCCCACCATACACGACAATTTTCCCAGCTGACATTATGGTTAAATTAATGGGTTTCCGTTCTTACTCCTCCTAAGACACAACCTGATCTGGCGGCGGATGTTCCTGAACGTCACAGAACACCATACTATGGCCAGTCCTGAATAAATACCACGAACAAGATGGCTAAGCAATTTATTTTTCAGGTAACAGAAGCTAAATAAAATTTGCCCATAAACAAATTTATATTATATTTATCATATTTATCTTTTATATGGTCATCTAATTTAATAACAGATGCAAAATAAGGTATTGTGGTTTTATTCGCGGTAATTATTTAACATTTATTAAATTTCCTGGTAACATTTACATGGTGCCAACCTCCTTTATTTTATCCATTTATTCACCACGATGGAGATATCTTTACTTAGGTTTCTAGTTCCCCAAATAATTTTAATCGTTACAAGTGTAAGAAAATTAACTATAATACAAACAATGTGTGTCAGTCAAATATTATATAGAAATACCACAATCTTTTTGTCTCATAATTATAGAATCTTGAATTACATGATATAGCATAATTTTTGTTGTATTAATAATAAAAATATATATATATGCATTTATGCAAGCAAAATAGTGCTTAAATATTGAAGATGAGATGATAGAAGGTAATTTGCCAGACCTTGCATTTGATAAAGATACAATTTTGGCAAATATAAACGTATTTATAACAATAAAAATAGTTACCATAAATAATATACAATAATACGTGTATTTAGTTATGATAATTGAAGAGATGGGAATAAAATGGAAATAATAACATTTTAGCAGATGTTCTCCCGAGGAAGTTCCAAGTTCCAAGATCGAAGTTTGATGACGTCACCATGGCCTAGTTGAGATAGTGTAAACTAAATATTTTACTGAAAATCCTGGTCTGTTGATGGTCGTGAGACACTGTGATATATTCATGATAAACAGTGATATTCATAGAGCGTATAGATAACGCCAAGGGAACTATAGCAAGGCTAAATAAAGGCCAGTGTTGGTGAAATTATGTCCCGTCATGAAGGTAGGTTCTCCACAACTGGTTCACAGCCAAAACAGGAATGAATTGCCCTTTATTTTGTACGTATTTGCGTCTTACTTGAGGAGCTCCCAGCACACATTCGCTCAGGAACAATGAACCACAACGAAGGTAAATAACAAAGAAGTGTTCATTTATGTTTGATGGTGAAATACACTCGAGTGTGCGTTGTACAAGATCTATTTTGGACATCTTAGGTGGAAGAAACCGTATTTATTCCTGAAAGTTGTACGTTCCAGTGGATGAATATAGTTGTAGTATATGTATGGACGATTTTTGTAGTGTAGGCATCAGAAGGTGGTGGAGCTATATAACTGTGACTGCTGAAAGTATTTTTTTTTCTCCCTGTTGACCCTGAATGTGTAGTGGAATTCATCAATAGTTTGTAAGCAAGACACACAAAGCTGTAGCTGGTGATGGGTTGTAGTACAGGATGGTGGATTATTTACCCATGTATGTATCAGGGATATGTGTGTCTGTTAACTAAACCTAGAGAGTAATGATACACTGTAGGATGTGTACTGTAATTCCATTGTGGGTCACTAGAGAAGGGTTAACACCTAGTATGTATGATGTTAGATTTGTCACTTTATTTCTTGTAATTCTATGATGAGATCTGTAATGGTATGTTGTTTATTGTAATTAAAATGTAAACCCTATTGGGGGAAAGAAAAAAAATGCTTGTGTAAGCTTAAGAAAATTATTTAAGATTGTCTTATGAAATGTGTTGGTCTAGTTTCCAAAGTCTCTTCACTGAGACTGTGGGGCTACGGCAGATGGCACAACCAAACCTAACCTAACCTAACCTGACAAATGTTGCAAAGATTTATTTATTTATTTTGTTTGTTTGGTTCATTTGACATTCCTGATAGTTTAGTTCCACATTTCACTTCCGATTGTATTGATTTAATTACGTGAACAAACATACCAGTAAGATCGCCGTAGATTTACCTTAGCTAGTGGTATAGTTCTGCTTAACCTTCATCACAGTCTGGGTTAATGATTGATTTGATATATCATTATGTGTGTGTGATTGAAGTAGTGTATTATTTTGAATGTTGTGTGATGAAGATACATACTGGTACCTATGTATTGTCAACACAAGTACAATTCCTTAAATTAATTTTGTATATTAGTGTATTTGATAGTAATGATGACTGATGCCTAATGATGTTACCAGACCGACTTGATGATAATGTTATTAATCTTGATCATCATTCGAATCAAAGTTTTGGTTTGTGTTAAACTGTTTCACCCTATTTTGAATGTAATATATACAGTACTGGTATCTGATGTGGGTGGTGTGTGGGCTGGGGCTGGCAACAGTGTAGGAGTGATAAGTTTGGTCACCTCAAGCTCTGGGAGTTGTAGGAATTATTAAAAAGTCCTCTCATATAATTTTTTTTTAATCCTACTACAGATCCACTTTGCTTCTTTATTTGTTGCAGTACTAAACTATTGTGCTCTACAGTATGTAGAAATGCAGACTATGTACTGTATTGTGCATGAACCAGCTAAGCCAAATTTAAGAGTGTTTGTTCAAACCTGGTTTCATAAAGTTATTAAAGCATTCATTCATAAACAAGATTCTACTCTTCCAATGGGGATTCAAAATGTGGTTTTCAATAGTTCAGATTGCATATTTCTTGATTTCCCCACTAGCTTTACTTTACTACTTTATCCTCTTTGCCACTGATCGGCTTGTTAGCCCCTTGGGGAGTCGGTCACATCTCTGGTATGCACTGTTGACAGGTATTACCTGTACTGGGCATGTACTGGTTCCAGAATGTATCTGTACCTGTGCCAATGTTGGTCAAGTCTCCTCTTGAATGAGCTCTCACTTGGTGCAATCACAATGCCCTGATAATTTTCTAATCTTGTGGCTTCTTCAACCTTAAACTGTGACTCCTAGTGGAGAGGGAATCTGCCAGCTTTAGGTATGAACTCTCGACTCGGTAATGTCCTCTGAGATGCTTATAGACTTATATTAAGTCACCCCTTGCCTGTCTGCAGTACTGTATATGCTGGGCAACTGCAGGCATTCTATTCTCTCTTGATAACTAAGGTGCCATAGTGCAGGCACCAGTCTGGTGGCCCTCCTTTGGACAGTTTTGCATTCTATACATTAAAATAAAGATATTGATACCAGTGAAGAGCCATTCAATACATTCTGTTGAGTAATATGATGCATTTCCTTACAACATTGATCTTCTGGTTTCTTTCCCCCTATGTTGTCTACAGTATTGTATATACCAGGTAGCTACAGTATTTGTATTTCTTTTACTGTATGTATTGTGAATTGCATATTATGTTAGGTTGGAGGCTTTTCTTTTTATATAAGCAAAATTCTCTTTTGGGGGTATTTTTCTTAATACTCTGTATACAGTTGTTATCAAAATAACTGCAAGGCTCATGCCAGAATCAGCATTGTGATTGACAAAGAACAAAATCCCTATTTTTGACAACCATCTAATACTAAGCACCAAAAATTAACAAATACTGTACTGTGCATACAGGGTATTAGAGTTGGGCAGCAGTGCAGTGCAGTTTTTGTTTTCTTCTTCATATAGCTACAATACAATAGATATAATAAATGTTAAAGAATTAGTCACAGAGAAAATATAACAGTACAGTACTAGAAAGGTGCATTGCAAATTTTTTACTGATGCTGTATTCAAATTTAGATTTGAAGGCCATTACAGTATGTGTGTACCTGTATTTCAATTTTGCATCCTAAGTTGCAATGCAATACCATTTATTTTAAGCTCTGAATAAGCTGAGACAGCCCAGCAGAGTCATGAAAAGTTTGCAAAAATAATTACCCACAAGGCATTATTTAATGCTTATCCTGACTTCAGTATACAGGGTACTGTACTGAAAAATTGTGCTCTCAAGGAAAAGTTTTCCATGTAGAGGATGGACTAAACAGTAAACAAAATTAGAGAAACTAGTACGGTATTGTACTGTTAGTATCATTATCAGATTTGTGTTTATGATGAACTACTGTAGAAAAAGTTACTAGACCATTTATGAAGGAGAAATGCAAAGAAAAGCCACACAAGTAGGTACAGTGCTGAGAAAGTGCCTCTAGTGAGAGAAAGTAATGCAAAGGTCATGAACCTATTTATGGTGGCAGACTATACTGTACAGTACTGTGTATTTCTAAAGTATACATAAAATACTTTGTGTATACCTGATGTTGCATTTGAAAGATTGTCTTCCCTTTGTAGTTTACAGTTAAACCATTTCAGATTAGCATATGTCTGCTTAGTCAGGTTAGCTATGTGGGTCAGGCAGCATTAGTGTGGCAGTCCTGGGAACCTATTATACATGGGGTTTAGACATGATGGTTATGTTTCTTTACAAAGGAATCTGATTTGGTTTTGTTGCCCTTCTTGGGAAATGGGTTGTAAACTGAATGTCTTAATTACAAATATCATTACTACACAGGTATTAGATACAGTATGACTTTGTAAGTGCAAACTTGACCAGTCCTTCAGGCAGTGAAAGTTTTGTGTACAGAAGAGGACCTGTTAAATTTAATCACTTAATATTTTATTTGGCTAATGTCAGACGATTTTATTCAGCTCAGAGGGGACCCTGTACACAAGGCGCTAATATTTATCTCCATTCTTTTTCTTGTACTTTAATTCATAAGGTTATCAAACATGGTCATATAATCAATTATGCATATTCTTATCATCAATACAGAATCTCTCATAATTGCATCTTATCAGTTACCAGTACTGTATATCCTAACAAGAAAAGTTTGCTCTAGCCACAGTGTGAATGATAACATTGTTATTCATGACCTTTGACAGATTAGCTACTTTATAAAGAATTACATAAAGGTCATTTCACACCGGCAATGGTACTATGTATGCCATGTGCTGGTGTGAGTTACCTAATTTAGAAACCATTACAGCAATTCAAAGACATAGTTTATGTGTAGCATAGCTTTTGGTGTGAGAAAGTTTTAATTTGAGAGATTTGCTTCCATAAAAATTTGCTCATTATACTTCTTTTAATTGGCACTGTAAATCTGCCATAACACATCAGTAAAGGAGTTCTGCTTGATAATTACCACTCTTGCAAAAATTGTGAAGCAATGATCATGAAGTTGCTGATTGTGATACAGTAATTGGAACTAGAAATACAGTACTGTACTGTACTGGACATTGAGAGGGAAAATTGATTGGGTCTTGTTTGAGTAATAATGTACAGTACCTGCATTATAATTACTGGTGAAACATTGGGTTCAGGGCAGACTCTCCATTTGCCGGTGACAATTAGAATGCTGTATCTTTTGACTTAGGTATGTTGAATATAACTATGAAATACTGTACAGTACTGTATACAGTAATTATAATCTTTCACAATCGTGGGCAGGAACATATATACAGGTATCTCTTAAAGTAATCAAAATGTAGGGAATGTGGAGTACTGTGTAGCTAAGTATTAAATAGAAAACTTAGTGTGTAAATTTTCTTTCTGGTGAATACTGTAGATCCAAAACAGTTTAATGACCAGGTTTTGATGGGTAATACGGTATTCTAAAATTTTAAGAAATAGTATATTGAGCTTCAATTTTTATATAAAAAAGAATTTCCCTTCTCAGGTGTGAGCTGTGACGCATGTTTGAAGGCAAATTTCCGTGGCAGGCGCTACAAATGTTTAATATGTTACGATTATGACCTTTGCTCGGCGTGTTATGAAGGTGGGGCTACAACAACACGCCACACAACTGATCACCCCATGCAGTGTATCCTTACTAGACATGATTTTGGTAAGTCGTGTTTGTTGAAATACTGTACTATACAGGTGTTCCATTTCTTGTTTCACAGAGCTTTCATTCATATACTAACAACAGTTGAACAAATAATGTATGTATCTGTACTGTATCTGCTGAGTTTGTACTGTACTATAGTAAATTGTGATTTATGCAATAGATTAATATTCTTTAATAGAAAAGTCACCATCGCTTTATCATCATCTCTGATATTTTGTACACATTCTCTCTATCCTGAAATACAGTCTTGCAAATATTTATTATGATTATCATTATCATTCTTCTAAACTTGTTCTTTTAGATGTGTACTATGGGGGAGAGGCACTCTCTGTGGACCAGCCTCAGAGTTTAACATGTCCCTTCTGTGGTAAAATGGGTTTCACGGAAACCTCACTACAGGATCATGTCACTGCTGATCACCCCGACACTGCCTATGAAGTGGTAGGTAATTTTTTCTTTAATGTGTTATTATTCCCTTTGTAAAGAAATGTTTTTGGATATGATTCCTTTACAGAGTGGAGGATTGGTATCCTCCCTTGTGCACTCTGCAGTAAATGATACACTCAGGTATGTTTGTCTATATTGAATCAATCCTTCAGTGGACTAGCATTGTGCTAAAGGGGTGGGGTGCCATAGTAACTGAAGAATGCCAAGAATTGAGATCAGCTTCTATCCAACCACCATGCATCACAGCAAGAAAATGCTTTATGCATTTAAACGATATACTGTACCATACTGCACCCACAGTGGTGGTCAGAATAATAGCTAAAGGCTGCTATGCCAGACATTTTACACAATCAATTAATCAGTACTGAGAAGAGTCACATAATTTGCTCCAGTCCCTCAAATTTCTTACTTACTAGTTTTTGTAATATATTTGTGTGTATCTGTCCTAGCATTTTTCCTCCAACTTTTATGTAGGATCAAGTATCACAGAAACTTTAAGGAAGAAAAGATATAATAGGGGAGAGAAGTACTGTGCAGGACATGACTGTAGAAACAAAAGGAAAGGACTAAGATAAGATACGTATCATACTTGTTCACTTTCCTCAACTTAATTGACAGGATACAAGTAAATATCAAATGTCCATGTTGATTCAGGATGTAACATACCAAGTCATTTTACCCAACAGCGTCATAAGGTGTAGCACAGTTGGTATTTACAATCATAAGGTGAGTGCCCTAGACCCATTCAGGCCAATCACTTTTTTGTGTCTATTTTACACTTCTGAGTACTATATGTTTATACAGAGCAAGGTTTGACTTACAGGTGTGTCCCATCTGTGCTTCTGTGCCAGGAGGGGATCCCAACCACGTGACAGATGATTTTGCTGCTCACCTCACCTTAGATCATCGCTCAGGCGCCCCGAGAGACCTCATATCCTTTTCTTTACTAATATTTATAGTTTACTGTCTCATTTACTACACGACTCTTAGAGAAAACCTTATTCTGTATACCTCTTATCTCTGACACAGCACATGACCAGTCGTAGATTACCACCTCTTTGGTAACCATTTTACAGTTCTCCTTTATATGACATGACAAGCCTGTATTGGTAGTTAAGAAATTACAAATGATTATAAACTTGATGACAATGAAAGTAAATGAGACATAATTTGAGTATTTATTGCTTGAAGAATTTTTTTTTTCCACATGGTAGGTAGCATAATTTGAGAATCTTTTAAAAATGTACAATGCATCTTTCAGTTAGGAGAAACTGAAAGAGAAAAATTTCATTATCCAACCAAGATTTACACTTAAAATATATATTCTTCAGCTAAAAAATCAAGACAGGTTGAGCATCCTTCATAGAAAAATCTTGGGGCTGATAGCTTTTCAGAATTCAGATGTTTTCAGATGCTGAGGCTCACAGAGTAAATGTTACAAATGGTACTGTAGTTAAGAGTGATCAGCAAATTTCACTGTAATTTTGAAGATACCAACAAACTTATGAGACAGTGCATGGGAGAGAAATTTTGTCACAGTGGAAGAATGAATCTCATCTCACTCTCACTGGGTGGATTAATCAGTGACATTTTAATTCTCAAATCCTTCTTTCACTTTGACTTAAGTGCTTCATGTAAAAAAAAAAAATTCTGAATTATTGTCTGCAAATGCTTAATGGGTTATAACTTCCTTAATCACTTTTACGATGAACCTTCTGGATCCCGACATGGGGTTCGTAGAATACCTCATCAAGGTCGTGGAATTAGCAGGGGTGTCGCAAGACGTAACATGACATTTGGGTAAGTAACGTGTGGTATAAAAGGTAAAAAATGTACTGTATGTGATATTCTTATTAGTCAGTGATTTAGTGAATACATTCCTTCCCTCTTTTTAATATGACAATGGCTTACAGTTATAAGAGGGACAACTGAAATGTGAGGTTCATTTTTTTGTTTCTCAAATGGCATGAGAGTATTGTCTGCCTTACTGATTTTAATCATATTTCCACCACTTGAAGCATTCATATTACCTTCATAATGCATCAGTTCCTCTTTTGTGTAATAGACAGTGCCTAAAAAGTAAGAAATGAGATTATCTAATTAATTAGGATTTCCATTTTGGTAATTCTTAGATGCGTCATTCTTTTTTGTCATCAGCCCAAATTGTAGTTACTGTATATAGCCTATACTGTACCTTAAATAAAAAGGTGGACAAGTTTCATAGGAAGTCTGTGATTAAGTTTTGTATACTGTAGTATAATGTATTGCATTTTTTTTATTTTTCACTCATTTCTAAGATCCATTTGATTCAAGTTTACATATACGTATATCAATCTTTAGAATTGCATTTCTCTTTCTCTGAAGGAGCGTCAGCAGTGGCCTGTTTTCACCATCTTCACGCGAGTCGATGGATCCCATTGCAGAGCTATTATCTCAGCTGTCAGGAGTGCGTCGAGCCACGGCAAGTGACAACAACTCTTCTGCTGCCTCTCAGCTGCAACAGTTACAGATTCAGTTAGAACGGCAGCAGGTAGCCGGCCAACCAACCAGCCAGGTCTTTAGACTCTTTAGTGCTGTCAGCTTGAGGAGTTGATGGTTTTCATCCCTTGCAACATGTTTGAGCATCCTGAATATCCTGTGGACCTTCCAACATGCTGGTTTGGATGTATTTTTGAACCCACTTGACAAGGGGGTAACCTGTTCCCCCAAACTTAGTGGCTCACATTCCATCTTGTACTACTTCAAGATTGGATAAAGATTAATGATTATTAAATCTTCCTTCTAAACTTCATATACAGTATTCAATGTTTGCTTCAGCTTTTCTCTTTTATTTCCACTTAATGTCATGCTAAATCAAAGGGTCTTAAATGTTTCTTATTTGTATTTTATTATACAGTACTTATAAAAATTTCAATTATTTAGTTGAAATTAAAAACTAAAGTTAGCCAGGTATGGAGCTGAATTGAGAAGCATTTTGTTTCGGTTCTAAATTATGTACTAGTTTTTCTGCCTTTTTTGTGATGTGTTTATTTGGTCATTTATTTTACTTTTTATCATCTTTTGGGGGTTTTTATGCTTCAAGTCCTAAACCATCAGGTTGTCTCACAGATAAAACAAAGTACATTAATTTTATAATGTTCTATGTGTATGATGCACTGAAGCCTATTGTTCACCAAATCTGTTTCCCACATTGTTCTGTACAGGTATTGGGGGTGGGGTGTGTGTGCATGGGTGGGTTTGCATGTTCACATATGTGTTTTTGAGGTTGGTCTTGTTTGTGAGAGTGTACTGGTATTTGTGTGTATGTGTGTGCTTGCTTCTACCTCCCTACAAAGTGAAGAAGATAATTTTTACATAATTATTTCTTCTTTGTGCTGTTTTTGTTTGTGTGTTTTACTGGATGATTATTTTTAGGTCATGAATGAGAAGCATTTTATCACATTTTCCCAAAAATAGTTTAATGTCCACCTCATGACAAAGAATGGTTCAGGATACATAAATTTTCTTTGAGTATCAAAATATCTGTACTCTTTACTGAAAGAGTAATTTGCTTTAATATAACCTTACTGTACACTACTAAGTTATGTATAAATGAACAGAAGAAACATTTTTATCTTCCTTGTTCAGGTGAAGTGATATAGCAATTGGTGTGTCTCAGTATGAATTATGAGTTTTATGTATGTAATCTTAAGTTGTCTTTAATCATAAGTTTATAATATTTTTTATAACTTTGTATGAATTGTCCATTCCAAAGCAGCAACTAACAGCTGTGTAGTAGCTGATGATAGCCAGTTGACTAAAGAACAGTTTGCCAACAAATTCTAATGCCGACCATGTTAATATACGACGGGTTGTTGACAAAGTTTTGTGTTATAGCTGATGAATATGTGGATCTTAAATGTGAAGTAGAGAGAAGCTGAAAAGATGATGGTGGTAATGTGTATCCAGGTTTTGTTACATGCTTTATATTCTAGACTGTGGCCAAAATTTTTACAGATGAACAGTGGATGAGTAGATTTTTTCTGCCATAAATGCAATCAAGAACATTCTTCAGTACATACATTTCAGTTATTTCATTTCCAACACTCTACTTGATGTACAATTTTTCCATGGTAGATATACATTTATAAAGAGGATATAATTTTACATAACAGTTACATTGTTAATTCATGATGTATCGGCAGTTCAATAATCTTCCATCCAAAGTTGACGAGACAATGACTTACAAACCTCTGGTCTTCGTCAGCAGCTGGAGCGACTGCCAAGACGTGGAGGAGCCAGTAGTAGCGGAGGAGTTGGCAGTGGCGGTGGAGGCAACAGTGGTGGTGGAGGCAGCAGTGGAGGCGGTGGGGGCAGCAGTGGTGGGGGTGGTGGTGGCGGCGGTGGGAGTCAGAGTGGTGTAATGGTAAATATTGGGTCAAGCAGCACAGCAAATGTTGTAACGACTCACCATCAGCCCCCACCACTCCTCGTTCATGCAGGGTCACATTCTCAACCTCAGTCACAATACCTCCTAGCAAGGTAAGCCGCCTCATCTTGTATGTTAGTCCACTGAACTTATAATGTTTCCATCTCGTTTAAGGATGCTGCGGCTGAGTGGATACAGTGCTTGCCTCCACTCCTGAAGGTTATTGGTTTGGACCAATTCGCCCAGCTGTGTATAGGTACCTAATGTTATAGTTGGGGAAGTGAAGGTGGTTGAGTGTAGTGCCGGTTGCACTTTTTCCTTGTACACTAAAGTCTTTGTATGAAATTGCTGTTATAATATTGCACTTCCCATAATGGGCTGTGTCTCATATCTAGTAGTAGCCTCACTATCCCACAGGGTGGTTAAATCATAGTGTGTATATATTTTAAATGTAATGTCCTTTTGTTGATCATGAGTAATATAAAGGCAGATAGATAAACCTCTTTTTCCTTGTATTCCTTCATTTTGGGAATCCTTAAATATCCTTAGTTTACTCATGCATTTCATTTTCTTTTGGGCTTCCATAATGTGGTAAGAGTTTATATTGTTACCTTTGTCCATATATCTTACGATTCATGTTCCAGCCTTGGAGATGTAAAACTTTCATTATATTTAATCTATTTTTTCTTGCTTGGCTCCCTCATAAGCCATTTTAAAGGGTCTAGGACAGAGTACTACTTAACTGGCAGCTGGGACCTGATCTTAAGAATACCCATTCCTCCCCATAACATTTATCACCTTAACAAAGGGAGAATAACAGCAAAGATTGTCCTCTAGAAACAGGTGGTTAATAAGTTCAGCACCATCTTCCTAGCCAGCACAGTCATCATGCCAGCTATGTCCACTCAGTACTTATTTCAAAGTCAAACTGACATTTTATATTCAGTCCCTAGTTACTTACCTCAACTATAATGTCTCACTCCAAACAGTGCTTACTAGTGTTGTGCCACATGTCTTGCCCTAACTTTTTTGATGGTTTAAGGAGTAGTTGGTGCGGTTTTGTTGCAGTTGTAAGTGTTACTTTTAAGGTAAGGTTAACCTTTTGTATCATAATGTTTTTTTCATGAGGTTTTCTACATTTAAATTGCTAATCCAAAACTGGTGTAGCTGGAGGTTGTACCATACTGATGAGGGTTGGTTCTTAGTGGTGGGTGAGACAGCCATGAGATGGAACATATGCTACACGCCTTTCAGTTTTATTTTATATTGGAATTATTTTCTGTGTTTTATGATATTTTAGTGATGTATAGATAGACACTGGTGACTTTATAGGCCTCCTGCCTCAAGAGGGTAACATTTACATTCAGTCTCTCTTTTTAGGGTGATAATAATGGGGAGGGATAGGCAATCATTAGCTCAGTCCTTGGGTGCCAGTTAGGGGATAGTCTATTGTTTTAGTCCTCAAGAAATGTCTTGAGTTTTTACAGTAGCTGCCTACATATGAAATCTACTGGAAAGTTGGTTTACAAGATCAATCCTCCATTTACATATACAGTTAGTTACTTGAGATTTATGTTTCAGGCTTGGAGATAGTGAGAGCGAGACAGAGGGTGGCACTGGCAGTAGTGACCGGGCAGGATTTGTCCAAGAACTGTTACTCTCCACTCTTTGTGATCTCACTCTTAGCCCAGGAGCCTTGGAAGATGGAAATTTATTACCAACATCACTTGCGAAACGAGGTGGTGGTGTGGCCCGTGAGACAGATGTATCTAAAGGTGATAGTGAGAGGGCTCCTAAGGCTGTTGTGTCATCTGATGTAGCAACTCAGACGTCCTCGTCAAGTACCCAGCCTGTATCCAGCACTACTACCACAACTACTACACAGACCAATACACAGCACCCTGCCATGCCCCAATCCAAGACCCCCAATACCATGAAATCTGTCAAGGGAGCCAAGGGCGTTGTTGTAGGTCGATCTAGTCCAGGAAGTCAACAGCACCAACAACAACAGCAGCAGCAGTCAAACGGAGGAGGGGTGGTATCTCGGCCACTTACGGGGACGGGAACGGTGGCCGTATCTCCTGTGGGGGGGCCCGGGAGGGGCCGAGCGTCGGGGGGGTCAGTCTCCCCCGGCGCAGCCCGCAGGAAACTGGTTCGCGGAGTAGAGGGCCGTGCCACAGAGCCTCCTCCTCCTCACTAGTGCCCAGAGAATCTAGTCCAGCACCAGGGGGTCTTCCCAATGCCAATGAACCTTGCCCCTGCCATCCTTGTCCTTGTCACCCTTGTACCTGCCTGTAGCCAGCCAAACCAAAGAGACAGGCAGGAACCAAGACTATCTAACAGTTGTGCTGCACACAGTTTGGTTTGGGTATATATGTATCAGTTAGAGAATGTGCTTGGACGATAGTTGTGTATGGTGGTGTGCATGGGAATGCAAATTAATGTGTGCCACAGTAAGATGAAAGCAAGCAAGAAGGCAGGCTAGGCAGAGTGGCAGAAAAAATTTGGGGGCTACTGGTGCCAAGAAGATTTAAAGTGTACATAGCACATGCTACTCGAGCATGTCAGATTGCTGTGTATAAAATATGTTCAGGCCTTTATAATACTGCATAGCTTTACCCTAACCATTCATGAAATCACATTATTGGCATTGTCCTCAGTACTGTTTCCTTCCCTCATCCTTGATAACCAGAATCACTCACAACTATTTCCTGTATAATATATAATTCAAATTGATTATTCGGTTTGATTTTTTCAATGTGGTTTTGCTGATACACATAGATTTTGAAGATTTTTGCCCAAATAGTGTTTGAAATATTTATAAATTGTATTTTTTGTTGCAAATGATATAACAGTAAGTACTTCTTATTATAGAGCTTCACTTTGCTTTGGTAAGATGATATTGAATCACTTACCCGCAGCCTAGCACGAGACGTGATACAACTATAACTGACTGGGAGACCGGTGTGTATCTTTTAAGCCTCTCGAGAAGCTTTTTAAAGTAAAAAGTGGATTAGTGCGTGAGAGAGGTGATAGCTGCACATGTTCACGACCGTCTTATACCAGCAGTAGTCGGGTACAGTACCATGCCATACACCACATACAGTATAGGATTTTTATTATTAGCTAGGCTCTCGTTTCCTCACCCAGCTACTTTGAGCCATATGCATTTAATGAATGCTTTGTTTCATAATGATACTTAAAAGAATATATATGAGCCTTATTAAAGCATTCTCCCTGGGTATAAGTGCAGATGCATCAATAATGATTGTCTCCTGCTAGGCTGCACAGTGATGTTTTCATAGTGCACTTGACTGATTCTACAGATGAATGAACATGATAAACTGAGAAGCATTTTTCATTCAGATTTGCATTGCAGCCCAGGTTGAGCTGAAATGTGTTAACATTTTCGGGAATGTTTATGGAATCAAAGTTGTATGTTCTTCAAGCTCATCTCTTTTTATAAAAGCAGGTGTATTTAGTGACTTAAGATCAGCAATATGGGTCATATGACTTGTTAAGACACTTCTCTAACTGTAATGCATGGTACGCTACACTTGCGGGACAATTACACAAGGCACACAGTGATTGATTCAATACAATGTGCAGCATTAGAGGGCTTCTGGTTAGCAGCAGGGTTCCGGGTCCTGTATGTTTTATTTACATTATAAAACTCTTTGGGTGTATAGCATTACATATGTCATGCATGGAGAAATCATACATCAAACTTCTCCTACTTCTGTGTCGATATTTTCAAATTTATGAGAGACGGTTGTTGGTAAGTAAGAGAATAAGGAATCAAAATCAACTTTCTGCAGTGCACAGTGAAGGTAAAATTGCAAAAGCAACATGGTCAGTAACTTTATATCATGACACTACTTCCTGATTAGGATGTTACCCTTTCCAGCAAGGAGCTAGTTTAGGGCTGAATAACATAGTCATCAGTTTCCTCAGATTGTAAGAAAAATATCAGCCAAAATGTATTCTGCCTAAGATCTAACTCTAGCACTTAAATTGTACACTCAGCATGCTAGCTTTTGGACCAATATTTTTCTTTCATTGAGTAGGATAAAGCCCACCTGCTCAGTCCTTCATCCTCATAAGAGTGTAACAGAACTCAGTCAGGATTTTCTATGCATGTTGGTACCATGCCTGTGCTAAATTAAGGATAGGAGTTCAGTCGGTGGCACTGAGGTTATGCAATGTTATTTGTCATGATCTATGTAACATTGGTTGCACTTTCATCTTGGGCTGCAGACTGATGTGTTTCCAAATTGCAAAGCTCTTAATCTGCTCTAATTTGCACAGCAGACACTAGTGTTCAGGATATTACATGGTAGCTTTGTAAAGTTACTTTTAGGAAGTAGTGCTGTAATAATTATGAATTCTAATATCCTGTGGACCATTTCCTAGTGGCAACTTTGTACTGGAATGTTTTCAGTCTAGGGCTCTAGAGAAAGAGCACCACATTTGCCCACTATATGATAAAGGAACACACATCGTTTTGTCCTTAGTCAGGGTTAAATTGAGGCCTATTAATATGAACACCTGCAGTATGCTAATGTGCCAACTTTTTGCTGACTTGGTGTACTTTCACAGTACAGTTTCTTTCTTGTGATGATGGAAGTTTTAAGTTTAACATCCTGTATATTCTGTTGATCAGTAAAGGTTTAGTTTTAATGCCTTCTAATGGTAACAAGAATTGATGAGCGATACTCAATATATATATATAAAACTAACAATGCCATTGTATGACCTATACGATATTTAGATGCCCTATCTGGCTGTAGCCTTAACAAGTATTACTTAAAGTTTAATTGAATAAGTATTGCAAAATATTGTTGTAGTGGATTATGCCATATATTGATATGGTAAGATGGTTTGATTAATTTCCTAAGGTGTTGGATATCTAAATGATGTGATAATAATCATGTGTTGGGTGTTGGTGGTAGCAAATATTAATGATGACTTCAGCTGCTACTGGTGCACCAATGCTTTGATTATCTGGCCTTCGGTCACTCAAGACCTTGACTGTCAAAAACATCAGGCTATTATATCTAAGCTTACTTTGTATCATATTAAACTAGAACTTATGGAATAGTCTGAATACCAAATCCTGCTGTACAGGTTGATCAAGGAATTGGTGTAGAAATCCATCTTTTGTTGCACAATTCTGTGGTTGGCCTTACATCAATGGTCTTTCATAAGAAGTCTATATCAGACTTGGTTATTAAAACAGATTTTGGCATTACATGTCCAGTTACAACAAAATTGGAGACAGTATATACAGTACATTTTTTTCTTAAAGATATGGCCATGGATATAAATTACTGGAAGGTGCCTGTTCGAAAACTAAAGATGTGTGGTTAGCTGCGAGTGTTTGTGTGCGTGTACGTGTGCATGTATGCACGTATGTGTGTATGCGCATGTGTGTGCGTAAGAATTTATCCATACATACATCAGCACACATTGAATTTGCATAGATATGTATATATTTATAATTAATACTAGTAAATCACAGTTTGTTTATACACATTTTGTCCTTTAATTAGGGTCATAGCAATTTATAATAGAAGCTCTTTTAGTATTTGCAGTGGCACCAAGTCTACATCTTTAGGGATCAAGAAACAGCTTGAGGGAAGTGTAGGGAGCACCAGACTACCATGATTATCTTGGTCCTCTTAGTGTGTAGAGTGAATGAGTACAGTACAGCAGTGTTTATTATATACATTTGAAGACTATACAATAGTGTTATTTCTGTTCTTTTATTTCTACCAGCGGTCTTCAGTTTGGTTATACTCTATGCATGTTTGTGTGTATTAAAACAAAATTTATGCATTATAGTTGACCTTGATTACTTTTTGTTTGTTTGTTTGTTTTTAGTTGTATTTATGGTAAATGCCTGGAAGATTGTGCTCGTCTCTGAAAGTAATGGAGGACATTGTTATTTGTTTTTAAATAGAAATATGATTATTGGATTTTGGTGTGACTTGATGAAAGGAATGGTTTTAGATGTAAATAATATTTCAGATTGATTTCACTTAACATTGTAGAAATAACTTGACTCTGATCCCATTGTACATAAATGCATTTGAACCATCTGACAATTAGGTGAACAAACATATATGGGAGCAATTTTCATGTGACCACTTTAAATCCAGGTAAAGCTATTTATTAGAATTATTGAGGGAATGTGGAAAAATAAAAGGATACATGTATGTAAGCTTATTCGTTGAGCCAATGCTGTGATAGAATGAATTGGAAATGAAGTCAGCTTTTGTAGGTCACAGGAAAAGGGCAAAAAAAAATTGATTCTTATGCATAGTGTAAGGTATGAGAGGTGTTTCAAATTACAAGTGACCATAAACTATTCAAGTGGTTTTTGTGGATTTCCTAAAGTTTGCTAAGCACAATCGAAGTGACATGAAGATGGCCATATATATTTATTATTTTTTATTATTTTTTTTTTCAATGAAAAAGATGTAGCTGCTGTAAATTCTGTGATCCTAATTAAATGGTAAGATGAGTAATTTTGGGTGTGTTATAAGTACAGTATCTTGTTGAATTAATATTGTCTGAAAGTTCTTCCTTAGATATATGTTACTGTTTGTGTGGTGGGTTATTTCAGACGGCGCTACAGATTATCTCGGGCCTTATTTGATTACCATAAAAAGGATGCAAAATTTTAATAGTCTTTTATGGCATTTCATGCATAAATTTAATATATTGTACTGTATTGTACATGACAAGGACTCTAAGCACTTTGTTTACATTATAAATGAAAAAGTAATACAAGAAGGTTTCTATTCACATTTAAAATACAAAAAAGTCTGGACTCAAACTTGCAGAATTATCTTTTTTTTTAACTCATTTGTTTATCAGAATTCATGTGTCATGTACTTTCATGCTGGGTGATTGAAATGGAATTGTGTCCTATTTCTTAGGTCACTCAAGAGGCTCTATTGGTCTCACGATCTGACCTAATGCGAATCCTATCTTTACTTCACTTATTTAAATATCCCTCAGACAAGTCGCATGATATTTTGGCCTCGGATCTTCAAGAAAGAGAAAAAAAGCACAAAGTTGGTCCGACTTTTTTCAGACTAATTGAAACTTAAGTTATGCTCATGCTCTGTACTCTTATCATCCATTACTGAACAATCCTTAAAATAAGTCATGGAGTGTTCTTATTGATTAACTATGACACATGTAAAGTCGTTGCCTTCTGCCGCCTCTTGAGAAAGGAGGCTACTGTGTTACTTCCAGGACATATTGAAGATGCTCCATTAGATGAGCAGATCAAGGTAGGCTTTGTAAAAGGTAAAAACAATGGAATTTGGAATACATTAGTTGGTTGTGAATTAATGTGTTCAGTTAGATAACATATGACATTATTATTGAATTAGCTTGCAATGTCCCCCTCGTCTGCTAAAATGAACCATCATTGAGAGAAAGCAGTTCCTAAGGAGACCTTCCTTTTGATAACCAAATACATCTTACATGGTAGTGCATTGTTGGCAAAATAGTAATTTCGGTGTCAAGAATTATCCAGTGATGCTGGTGATACACACACTATAATAATCGGCAAGTTTGAACCTTTTGTTGTGCTTCAGCAGTTATTTTTCCCATCTTTATATAACAAAGAGTACCTAGCCTGAGAAATGTTGCCCCAAAATAGTTAATACACCTATATTACTTTCTTGTTGGATCATACAGTGGTTATTCAGTTTGGTGTTGCTTCTTACCGTTGATATAAGCCAGCAGTGTTTGCAATGATCGCTGTGTATGTGATGACACCAGCAATTCTAAGCCTCGGTGAGGTTAGTTTTCCCCACTGTCATACTGGAAAATAAGCCTTATTGATGACTCTTTTTAAGTAAAAGCTCATGATTGCTGATCTCGCATATCTTAAAAATATTTTTTAAAAATTGCTGCAGAGGCAAAATGCTCCACGCCCAAAACAGTACTTGTGTTATACTGTATCATAGGTTTATTGATGGAATAATAAAAATGTTTTTTGGCAAACTGTGTTTATTTTTTATGAACATATTAGTGAGCAGTTAGCCGGTTATTATTTAATTCACTGCTGAGAACTGGCCTCTGGTCAAGACTGGATTTATATGGGAAATTGGCTCCTTATGAGAAAATATAATGAAGAGGAATTGCTAACATTTTGGTGATCTGAATCTTATACAGTATTGTAAAAAGTAAGTTGATAAAAAAGACATTGTTTAAGGTTTCTCTAGAAGGGAAATAATTAGTTGTAATATACTGTGTATGGGTAAAGAAAACAAACGTGATGGAGTAAAATAAAAAGCAATATGGGAAGTACTGTATTGGGGTATATGGGAAGTTGTTGAATGCTGTCCAGAGTTTTAATTGTGAGTAGAGCACTAATAATAGTTTTGTCAAAAACATGGAACCTGATTTAGAAAATGGATTACAACAAAGATGTGTAATGTCACTCAGTCTGTTTTAATATTTTTATGGATGGAGTAGTAAGAGAGGTAAGTGAGCTGTAACATCCAGATGACACTGCTCTAGTGGAAACTAAGAAGAAAAATTACAAATGTTGATGAATGAGTTTGGAAAATTGTGTATTGGAAGAAATTTGATGAGTGTGAACAAAATGTAATTGAACCATGTAAATGGAGAAAGAAAACAGGAAGAAATACTTGTACTGTATATGTAAGTTGGCTTGGAAATAGAAGGGACAAAGTAGAGTTCAGTATTTCAATTAACCGGGAGTGAGTGCGTCAACAATTGGAATGAATTGAATTACAGAGAAGTGGAAGGAAAAAATAGAGATGGATAGAGTGTATGGAAACAAAACTGCGTTAAAGGAGATGAAGATGTACTGGGAAGTTCTTGAGCTGATATCATGTGGGTTGTAGAGTATGAACTCTGGATGCAAGAAGGAATAAACATGAGAAGTGGCAGTGAAGAAAATTTTGGGCAGAAAGCAAAGCAGAAAATGTGATAAGAAAGATTGGTAAAAGTTATCTTATAAATGTGGATGACTTAAGAAGATGGAAAGATGAGGTGAAAGGTTTGCTGCGCTTGGCAAAAAGGTGAGGAGGGTAGACATCCAGGAAGTGGCGGTGTGAATGAATGAGCAGAGCATGGCCTCAAGTGATTTTAAAGGAACACATTGCCACAGATGAAGGATGTTAGCTTCGTAAACCATACATGGAGCTTTGTGGAAGGAGAATACATCTTTTACGAAAACAGGTATGCTTAAACACTTAAAGAAATGAAGGCAATATGTATCTGTACTGTGCATGCCCTTGAGTTATGCAAAAGAAAGCCTAAATTATAAAAAAAAAGAATAAGCTCACTAGATTATGACTTATTATTGAAACACTTCTGTACTGAATCTAGAAAAGCATCTCCCAGTGTAAGTGAAGGTGGATGTCAATAAGTTGTTGACTAAAGTTTAAAAAAAAAAATTTATCTAGTAGAATATGGCCTAATATTGCATACTTCTGAATTTGAATCCCTCCAAAAACTGGTGTCATACGCTTGTACTGTATTATCCACTACAGTATATTTTGAAGTGTGACTGAATCTGAACACAAGAGGTGATTTCCCGTGTATTATTCACAAACTGCACCAGGTTTTAGATTACTTTCCTATTTCTGTACTCCCAGTTTTTCCTTCAACGTTTCTCAGTCTTTTCATAAAGTATCTTAAATTTAAATTTCCCTTCTTAATCTTGTGTTCATATGGCAAAGAAATTACCATAAATAATTTGAATAATTGTTTGAATAGATGACCTTTAAAACCGACTGAAAGAGTTAGACACGATCACTGTTAATGTTAATACATGTACAGTACAGTAGCTGCAAACGTGTAGTACTGTATGTGTTTTTAGTGTCAACAACTGCAAGAAAAACGCGAAGTAGAGTTCCTCGCTACTTCTCCATTGGTTCATACTGTAATAAGGCGAGTTATAATTATTTTATGAGCTATATATACTGGAGAGGTCAAGGACATTTTAAGCGATTCCTGTGCCGTCGAAAGATCAAGTTTAAGTTCGTGATAGTAAAATGGTTGTGTTTTGTTATGCTTATGACTCCAAACATTATAGCCCCTCATAGTTATATGATAAAGTTGCCTTACAAAGCATTCCCAAAGACCTGAAATATATGGTAGAGTAACCCCCAACTATTAATCAACTCGCTGATGAAATGAAACAAACTTTTTGCACACTATTTGCTTAGGTGTAACAAAACTTAGAAAATTATTTTCTATGTTGTTTAATTAATTCTTTGTTTGAATAATTAACTCAAATACAGCACACCGTACATTTACAGACACATTTCTTGCGCCTTGAAAGATAAGCACATTTGAATGCTTTAAAAATATCTTATCATCTGTGATGAAGTTGTTGCATTTGATAGCACTCACCGCCACACTGGGGGAGTCAGGTCCTGAAAAATGTTGAGTCATAACATTACACTGGAATATACGACAAAACATGACTTCCGGACGAACAAATATCCCTGACTTGGCAAGGGGATTTTCCTTGTAGGTGACAACGCGATTTATATTCCTCTCCTGAAAGTAATAGATTACATAAAAATTCGTCATAATACAGCTACACCAAGTACAATTCATACAGAAACACATTTCTAAAGATGCGCCTTGAAAGATAAGCACATTTGAATGCTTTAAAAATATCTTATCATCTGTGATGAAGTTGTTGCATTTGATAGCACTCACCGCCACACTGGGGGAGTCAGGTCCTGAAAAATGTTGAGTCATAACATTACACTGGAATATACGACAAAACATGACTTCCGGACGAACAAATATCCCTGACTTGGCAAGGGGATTTTCCTTGTAGGTGACAACGCGATTTATATTCCTCTCCTGAAAGTAATAGATTACATAAAAATTCGTTGATATAATAATGTTACCCATATAGAATATTCAAATACGCTAATAAAGCCATTCATTTTTACAAGTACAATTCATAAACATTAAATGTTAAACTTGTAAATATTATGAACACGAAGAGAGGAGAGATTGGGAAATCAAACAGAGCGGCAGCTAAAGATCCAAGTTTGTTTCGAGCGCTTGGCTTCGAAGCTTCCTACTTGTGTGGTTCGAAACTGCGCTAGCTGAGCAACTCGGTGAGTGTGACGTCACTAGTTAACAGAAGAAAATGGATTCATTGATGAAAACGAGGATCTTTTCCTTTTCATGGGTAAATGAACTAACATTTTCCCATGCAAACTCCAGTATTAACAGGATTATTACTTTAGAAATTCAGCTCTCTTCAATATATACCACATTACTTTGCTTTCTGAGATCACACCCATATTTTAGCATACCAAATGGTATGTTTTTATGCCTTATGCAATTTTTTACGTTTGCCTTATGATTTTTTACTTTTACTTTACTTTTATCCTCCTCACCACTGATCGGCTCGTTAGCCGCTTGGGCGATCGGTCATGTCTGTTACGCACTGTTGGCAAGTACTGGGCATGTAACCGTCTCCTGAATGTACCTGAACCTGCTCCAGTGTTGGTCAAGTCTGGTCTTAAAAGAGCTCACACTCGGTGCCGTCACAACACTTTCTGGTAGTTTGTTCCAAGAGTTCACAACTCTCACTCCGAAAAAGTTTGCCCTCACAGCTTTCTGGACCTGCGGCTTCTTCAATCTTGAGCTGTGACCCTTTGTAGCCTGTATTTATATGGAGTTTTTTGAGGCTAGATTACTTCCCAACATAGGTGACTTTATTCCTCCATGGTATAGATATGTAGATGATGTGCTTTGTCTATGGTCTAGAAACAGTGACGCAATGGAATTTTTAGACAAGCTTAATTTTGTTCCTAGTATTACCTTCAAAATTGAAAGAGAGATACAGTAAATGGATCCTTGCATTTCTTGATATGCATATCATGTGAAATGGCCATAACTATAAATTTAAGGTGTACATACATTTTTCATCAAGTCACCATGAGTCTACCAATATGTCATTTTTTTCTGCTATGTGTTTGAGATGTTTACGTATTTGTGACCCTGACTTTATTGAAAAAGGACTGCAACATATTCAGTCCATTGCACAAAAACTTGGGTACCCTTCATTGTTTGTTGATCGTTGTTTTAAAAGGGCTAAACAATCCTTTTATTCTACTCAAACTAGGCAAGTTCCTACATTTAAGAATATTTTGACTCTACCTTATCGCAATGAATTTGTCCCCTTAATTCAGTCCCTTAAATTATTAAACATTAATGTTGGTTCTAAGTATGATTCAACTATTACTTATATATTAATTAAGAATAGCCCAACCTTGAATGTAAATGGTTGCGTTTACTGTATTTCATGTCGTAATTGTAATGGAAATTATTTAGGTCAGACTGGGAAAGCATTGCAACTCAGAATTAAACAGCACAAGTACAATATTAGAACGGCATCTGAAAGCAGTGCACTGTTCGTTCATATAAGGAACAATAATCATCCCATCTATTGGGAAAACAGTTTAGAAGTGTATAAATCATCATGCGTCACACAGAGACTTCTGGTTGAAGCAAGTTTGATTAGAGAAATGTATTCTTTAAACCTTAGTGATGGTTCAGTACAAAACTGATATGTTACACAAATTTATTTGTCAGTGGCACAAGGTAAAAAATGCTTTGAAAGAATGTAAGGAAGATGATTAGTGGATCTCACATTTTTTACCTGACGTGACATGACTACTTATGTCGCCCGTTCTTATATGATCTCTTCCTATGTTTGCTGTGTGGTTGGTGTGTGGATTAGTGGATGTCATCTTTTTTTACCTGACCTCATGTTTTGTAAGGTCACCCTGTGTACATAAGCTCTCTCTCAGTCTCTGTAATTCAGTTGCCTCTGAAGATGTCTTGAATAAAGACGAAAGCTAAGGCTCTCCATTTTTTCCCTTTACCCTGTGCGATTTTATCAATGTATATATAGGGACCCTTTCATTGACATTTAGATTTCTTCTCTCTTCCTTTTCTCTGCACCCGAGATGTATTTTCTGTATCTGTCTCTATCCCTGTTGGCCAGGGTATAATAAACAAAACGAGGGCTGTGTACGATAGTAAAATAATATTTATCAACAATTTCACATATCACGGACAACTGGAGATTCAGAGTTTCGACAACACTGACAGGTGACCACTGTTACTCCTCTTCGGCAGAGAGCACAGTAAAGAATTACATTGTTCTCAGTCTGGGTGGCTTAATCTTACCTTTGACCTCATTTCAGCAGATGCATTGCTTAACTATGCTGGGCAGTAATCCTTCAGGTAGTCTCCTGAATCTAGGTGGTAAGGTGAGGTCAGCTTAACACGGTCACTAATTCTGGTGTTGGGTGAAGTAAGGGCCGCGGGGCCTCCACTAGCGCAGGGCCCGGGGCGGCCGCACCGGTTGCCATACCTTAGGGACGGCTCTGAGACTTGGTTAATACACCATTGGGTTTCATATTTAAATCTTACGACCAATGGTGAGTAGAGTAGAGAATAAACTATTACAGAATCTAGCATCCAGAACAAAAACCTTCAAGAAACTATAATGAAAGCTTGCAATAATCGATACTCTCCAGGTCGTGATAGACAAATGTCCTCATAGAATATGCTTTAAAATAGGTACAGTATATCATTACCAATTTACCAATAATGATACAACAGTTTCTTACAAAAAAAAGAGATCTCCGAGAAAAAGAAAACGATCCAACACCACCACTCCACAAAAAACGGATTCGACGCATGCTGGCAATTTTAAAGCAGTAACTCCTTTTACTTTATTTTTATATTCTTCACCACTGATCGGCTCGTTAGCCGCTTGGGCGATCGGTCCTACAATTGCTAGCTGCTAGATAACGAAGTTCAGTAGAATATACATGTATGATTTCTGTCAGGGAATGTCTTACTCCATTCAGTTTCTGGGGTACATCAATGGTCAGGGCTTGTTAAGTGAGGATGTATATATGCACTTGATTCTTCTGAACACAAAAAATATTGTCCACAAATAGCACCCAAATTACTGAGTTACACTTAGCTATGGACAAAGTCAGTGTATATATTATAATCAATGGGAAGACTGTATACCATAATTTTGTTCTTTAACTGGTGCTCACTGAACGTATTTAGTGTTTCAGTTAAATTTGTATGTAAATTTTCGATGTATTTTTTGTATTGCGTCAATTAGGTGCAGGCATGTATCTTCTCTTAAGAAAAATATTCATCGTTAGAACCCATTGAGACGCTGAGTGGGACGTAGTTAGCAAATTTCTTCAGATTTCGGTTTATGAGCCCGTAACTTTTATGATCTTCACAAATCATCCACAGAACAATGTTAAATCGAATATGTATCTGTTCGTTGATGATACAAAGCATTATCTTTCCTAATGCTACCTAACCTAACGTTACCATTCTAACCTTATTTAACGTAGCATTTCTTATCTTTATATTCCTTTACTAAGTCTAACCTAGTCTATATTAACCTATCCTATAGCTTAGCCATACTTAGTACTGTATAACCAAACCTTACTGTACTTTACCTTGCCTCACCTCAATCAACTTCACCTCTAACCTGTCTTTTAACTTGACCTTACTTTACCTAACCTAACCGTACTTTACCTTGCCTAACTTTGATTAATTTACGCATACTTTAAATAAACTAACTTATTGTACCAAAGTCAACCAATCCCGAGATCGTAAGTCCCCGCACCTCCACACACTCAGGCTTTTGTCAGATTTGTCTACACGGATAACTCTGAGATAGGCTATTGGTTCGGTCGGGTTGATGATTATGAATGTTGTATTGTGGCAGTGGTCTATCGGTCTCGGATAGTCTCATTGTAGCCATATATCTATTTACCCAGGGTTTTTGGTTTGTTGTTACTGATTGCACACCCCCCACCCCCTTCATAATGGAAATAAGTGTATGATTTAGACAAGCCTTGGTCGAATCAGATCAATCGATTTACTGTACTTACATTGTACGTACACCTGCACTATCTATGTACACGCGCTGAATTAATGTAAACTTGCCTGACTATTTTACTAAATACATATCTGTCTATCTATCTAAGGTGGTTGAGTTAGGTGTGGCTAGTTCGTGTGTGGTGTCTTAATTAACTTTGTATTCTAGGCTCCATAACTAGCCTTGTTAACGAGGCAGCGGTCCTTTCTCATGGAGATTTAAAACATGATGACCATATCAGCCTAGTGTGTAGGATGGCCGTTTGTTTTTATAGACAGGGTATTTAAATATAAATGGAAAGCCGGAACCTGATTTGTAGCCACAATGAAGAAAGAATATACATTTTCTTATGTTATTAACTATGAAGTTTACTTACCTGAAGTAATTTTGTATATAATGTATGTAGTTAATGAATATATTTATGTGTAACCAATTGGCCATGTTACCTCTCAAGGAAATATGTAAGCACCATATGAAGTGTTTACTCCTCACCCAGTGATTTATATAATTCTTAATATATTCTTACATCTTGTCATTATTCGTGTTGGCAATTAAGAATTTTGCCAAAATTTGAAGAAAAAAAATATCAAGCCAATATTATTAACGTATTTGGTTGTCCTTAAGTATTTTGTTACCAGTATCAGATGAGGTGATTGTTAGCAGCAGTGGATTAATTGGAGAGAACGAGGGTAGGTATTAACCTGGGAGGTGTGTGTGTGTGTGTGTGTGTGTGTTACATTTAATAACAATAATTGCCAATTTGGGATAACTTCTATGTATTTTTATTTTTTTTTAATTTTCTGACTGGCCATAAATAATCATGCAGATTATCAAAATACATAGACATTAATAGTTTTGTTTTTTATACAAACACTAACCTAACGTAACTAATCTACTTTAGGTATAATTTGCCCGCCTTATGATGGTAAACGACGTCTTAAATGAAACAGAAGATATTTGATCACGTAAAAAATAATTTCCATCAAATAGTAGCAATACAAACAAAAAGTTATCCCTATTTGGCAAATAACGTCAATCATTTAAAATTTTAATCGATTGCACCGATTTAGCATGACACACACACACACACACACACACACACATATATATATATATATATATATATATATATATATATATATATATATATATATATATATATATATATATATATATATATATATATATATATATATAGAGTATATATATTGTAACTCAACTTGTGTTGACGGTGACCGTGTAGGCACGTTACTTTGGCGGTCGGGGGCGGAGTTGACGTAGGCTAAATACTTATGTTTTTGACCAGTGTGACGATTGGTGTCACACGAGAGGTAAACATGTATTGTGAGGTTCTTGTTGCAGCAGTAGATGAGTGTGGTGGTGTAGGCTCGCTGGCGTGGTCGGGGGCGGGGCGGGGCGGCGAGGAACGAGTCTTGGTAGGCTGCCAGAGTGCCGACCACCGCCAGTACAGGGAGAGAGTCCCATGGTGTGTGACCGAGGCCGCTATGGCCGTTGATAACCGCTCAACCTCGGCCCTATTTAAAAGGGCCGAGCAGTTAAGGCGTTGGCAGGAGAGTGAAACCAATAAACAAGAAGTGTATGAAAATAGTAGATCTCGAAAAGTGAATTTTAGTGATGGCTGCATCTTTTTAGCAGCGTGTGCTGCAGGGGACAAGCAAGAAGTGCTTCGCCTCTTGGAGAAGGGCGCCGATATAGACACGGCTAATGTAGACGGCCTCACAGCTCTTCATGCGGTAAGTTGAGAAATTTTACTATATTATCTTCAAATTTGTGTCACAAATTGGTGAGGTAAGTCATAAGTGGTGTCTGAAGGTGAAAATTTTATTGGAAATGAATGGGGCCAGGGGCATCTGATTTCAAGATGGCTGCCACCCAGTCGTATTCCATGTATAAATAACACACTTTCTGGGCAGTAAGCCTCCCTGTAACCAAACCCGCTATTGACGAGGTGTTTCCCGACCTCTGTTGTAATCACCACTAGTCACAAATGATGTATCTCGGTGGATATAGGTGGTAAAGAAGGTTATTCATTTGTTTTGGTAGTTGCCTGTTGCTCTGGGTGAGGGCGCCAGTTACCCATTTTTCTACACCTCATCCCATTCCCTCCATCCTTCATAAGGCCGATTTATGGTTTCGTGGCACTAACGATGACCAGAAGAAATGTGTGCGTGATTTCTGCGTGTTAGGGCTTAATTTTTCATAAACAAATTGAAAGTTTACACCAAAAGTGATCACCGTATGATCTCCCCAGGTAGGGTCGTCGCTTGTGACATGTTGCATAGGTTAATTGGTGAAGGTTCTGTTACGCAGGTGTATGTAATTGATTAGTGAATGTCTTGGAGAGGTAGGCCAACTATTATTAGTTTGAATGTTGACTTGAAACTATGGGGAATCTCGGTGCTTTTAATCATAATCAGGGGCGTGGTATACCTAACGCAGCCTATCATCTCCTCACCTCACCCCCCAAACATTGTCAGGCTGGTTAAACTTTTGGTGATATAAGCTGGGGTAGAGATTCTTCAGGTGATCTGAATATAGTTGGTGCTGTGTATAATGAAAACAATTGTAAATCCCCATAACCCAGAATAATATGAAGCTTAGAAAGTGAGGGAAAGTGTTTGGTTAAAAACAAATGAAGCTTAAGGGAAAAGGAGGGTAATAAAGGAAATATTTCATACTGTTTTAGAAGAGTTACTGTCGAAATTCATAGTAATAAGATAGCACCCCTTCTTTGCACCTTTACCTGTGCTGTATGTTATTTTTTGTTTATGTATAGTGTTCATGTCCAGGGTAAACTCTAGAATAGCCCTGCATCAACATTATTATATCACTGTTATATCTATTGTTTTGATGCATAGAAAGCAAATACTGTACTGTAAGGAAGCAAGGACAATTGAGTTTGCGAACTGATTATAAAGCCTTGTGTATTTCTTTTGCCTTTCCTATCTCTAGTGAATGAATGAAAACACTTCTCACTGAACTATGGCATATATCTGATTTTTGTAAATGTGGTCTAAATTTAGGCAGTTCTCGGTGGTCCAATCATGCTAAAATCAAACTTATTTTAGGTCAGATATGGTTTGTTGTGCTTCATCAGAATGTATGGAGGCAGTTGCATACTTACTGCAGGCCTAAAGTAAAGGTGAACTGTAAGTAGTTTTCAAGCTTGCATTTTCCTTGTTCCCCACCAGAATTTCTGAGCATAGTTCAAGTGAATCGAAAAATTTTTCTCTTGACATTGATATGGTCTTTCTCTGCCTATGGTTTCAAACTGACATTGAGGGAGCATTCTGAGAATGGTGGAATTAGTTGTTCTTATTTGTATTGTGGTCATTTTCATACTGTTCTCCTAATTTGAGTGTCAGGCATATTAACCTTCCACAATTTAAAAAATTCTCGGGTGAAGTATAAACACTTGTAAACAAAATGACAAAAATGTAAACAAAATGACAAAAATATTAGTCCCCATCACAAGTCTTGACTTTAAATGTGTAGGTACTGCCCACTTTTCTTTGAGGCATATCCCACACAGGCCTGATATATGATAATTACAGAACAGTACCTGTATACTGTAGTTTAAAACCAGCATGTTATAGAATGAATGTAATAAATGTATGGTAGTACTGTACATTATAAGGAACTGCAAGTAAGCCATGGTCTCATCCCCTTCAGTTCTATGGTGAAATAATAAAGAACATTGCTCAACTGTTTGACTTTAGTTGGAATAAATCATTGTGTGATCTATCCCTAAATTTCGTAGTACAATACTGTACATTTGTCTGAATTAAGAGTGTTAATGTATCAATATTGAAATTCATTCATAGAAATGTGATACTTATATCTATTACACAGGTACCCTGTTCTGTACAGTACTGTACTATAGTACGTATAATCTTGCTGGCATTATATTTTGTAGTTAGTGAATAAATAAACATGCAGTGTATATTCTGTATATGTGTCCATATTGGTTTTAAGAACCTGTCATTCATATGTTAATGAAAATACACTAAAGGTACTGGTAAAAAAATGGGAAACATACATACTGGACACTCTTGATTATAAGAAACATGCAGTATGCCTGTACTGCACTGCACTGTACTTTGTAGACAGTGAATACTAGTACTACTTACTTAGTCATTTACTGTAGGTCCTGGTATGGTCTTCTCCCTTTCAGTTTTCACAGGTAACGCTAATTATGTGGGCCTACATCAGGACTAATATTGTTATTATTAAGTTAATTATTTATTGTCATATTGTAGCTTTCATAAACATTAAATTACAGAGTTTAATTGAGAAGCTAACTAATTTGTCAAATGTAGTAACTACACTCCACTTCACTGTCAGATATACTGTACTGGAGAGTAGTTGATTGTAGTGTAATATACAACTGAATGTGTACTTTACTAAATGTGATGCTCCACCACATAAACCTGATACCTAAATGAGGGGTGTAACTTGGGGCTAAGGATAAATGGTTGCCATCAGCACTTGCATACTGTACCTTTATATCTTGGGTTTTATCAGAAAAATAACTGTTATTCATGACAGTTAGATCAACACTATGTAGTGTAAGGTATACTGCAGCTTCTATCTGTCTCATATCATTATCACCACCATTTTATGGCCATTTTCCAAGCTTGTGTTGGTTAGCTATGAATACTTGATGGTAGCCCTCCATGCTGCACTGTTTTTTGCAGCCTCTCTCCTCTGGTTCTTAATTCTGAGGTAATTTCTTACAACCTCTCCTCCCCATTCAGAATTAAACATGTCCTCCACCCTTCACTCCATCAACAACACATTCTTCTACAGTACATTTCTTGTTGCCTTATTTGTATTTATTTACTTTTATATACAGTAGTTTTATTTATATCTTTCAAAAGCAGTACTGTACAAATTTCAGAACAATAGGTGCACAGGACTGGTACCCACAAAGCAATGAACAGGTTTTTTTATTTTATTTTAACTAGGATTGTTTGTCTCTGTGCATCAGAACTATAGTACTGTACAGTTATTACAGTAAGAGTACGGTACTGTTCTGTTACATATAAACTACTACATTATCTAGTTAAGCAGCACCAAATGTTGTGTTGTAGATATATTTGTGAGATGTGGAGGAATTGTGTGTTTTTGTGTTTTACATGGAAATTGTCCATTGCTTTTTTTTTAATACTGTAGTGTACCATTGTGGTATGCAGAGTCCCAAGATTTAGTGTTGAACTGGGATTTGGTGTGCCAAGTAGTGGAAATATATTGTATTTTCATCTGATACTGCTGATTCAGTGTCCAGTGGTGTACTTACGACATGCTGTTTTTTTTGGGAGAATGTCTTTAGTGCGTTAGCCAGATTTAATACACCAGTCACTACAGTGTTTTGATAATGGAATTGTATGCAGTGGTCCATCAGTACAGTTAAATAAATTGATTACCACAATAAAAAATTTAATATACGGTACATGCATTAATATACGGTTTAATACGTTTGGAATTTATTGTAGTCCAATAATACTGTATACAGAATAGTAATTATTTCTAGCTATTTACTAGTTGGTATTTCAATTAGTAAACAATGTTACACCTGTTCAGTGTATTGATAGATTTTCAAACCAGACTTGTATATACAGTGTGGGATGTTACTATGTGTGTGAATTAGGCTTCAGTATGTGTTGGGAAGAGGTTGTGGTCGTTCTGCCTATTTATAACCTGTGGTGTTGGCATTAAGCGAGTAGAATGACAGAGTTGGAACAGTGGTGTGCGGGTAGACGAGGGGCCTCAATGAAACCTACCCCAGCTGCACCAAGTTAACCGGAGGGAATCGGCACCAGCAGGGCATGGGGAGGGCGAGCTTCAGTACTCAGAACAATTATGTGAAGAAGTTTTAAGCCCTTATACTATGCTGTGTCTGCTGGAAATTATTACCATATGTTTCCCGAAGTGTTGTGGCGGCGACTATCAATTGTTGATCATCCAGTACTGTATAATGTTTGTGTGTTCAGCTTGCGAAGGTACTGGTCGTGGACGATTCTTCAGTGTGGGTCGGTTTGTAAGTGTGGTATAATATTTGGTATAGTATATGTACGGGATATATTCAAAGGGAAAAAAATATGCGAGTTATAAGCACATAGAGGAACACCCTGCCAAAGTTGTAGTGAGGCGAGTGAGTGTAGGTTGGAGGTTGTCTTTCATACCCTGCCAGGAGTTGGGGATGATTGGAGCAATGCGGGCTATGAATAAATCTTGACAGTGTACGGTCTCCAAACATCACCTGCTTTTTTTTTTTTTATAACCATGTTCACTGCAAAGATAAGCTGTTTTATTTTACTGAAGAGTCCATTTGCCTTCATGAGTTTTCCACCCAGGTAATTTTAATCTAACAAGTTGTCTGTGTAGAATCAGTAGTGGTGTACGTGTGTTTACATAGCCTATTGTCATCGGTTGAGCGTAGGCATAGGTTGATACAGTTGACGCTCATCATGTTACAGTAAATTAGGAATTGTAATGTAAATCTTGCCAATCTGGTATTATATAAAGGCTGGGGTCAGGAAGGAGGGAGTAGAGGCAACAAAGCGGTGTTTGTACGCATGACTGTGGGAGCGTGGGTGGTGTGATGTTTACATGTGAGCCGGGCATGGAGGAGGATTTTCTGATTCGATTCAAGTGTTATCTTTCATGAAACTGGGGCATGTGAAAATCAATCCAGTTCCTATGTAGTGCTATTATTGAGTCTGTATTTGTG